CAAAGCTCATTGGTCACCTATGATTTACTCTTCTTTACTTATTGATGCTGCATATGACCAGATTCACGTCTTTGTAACATTTGAGTGAAGACTGAAATAGGAACTGAAAAACTAATACAAGAATCATGATTGTAAATGTCTAAACTACAGTTTTTTTTCTATTAAAAATACATGATATTTGTTCTTTTCACATGCTATTACAAAAAATGTCCTAACATGCCTAAAAAGCAGTAAGCAGTATAGCAGAAATTGTTGATAGGAAAATGAGAAACATTAAGCAGCAGAATAAGCAAATTAATTTAATATTAAGGGCTTTATAAATACAAATTAACATTGAATTAACCACTTTCATATCTGCACATTTCACTTGCCCTAAACCTTATATGGTATTTTACAGATGATGATTTGATTTAAACATTTACAACTATTTATTTACGTAAGCCACCATTAATTTTGTGTCTGTTTAGAATCAGACGGCAATAAACAAAAGCGTTTGTCAAACTATTTCAGGTCATTTTAATTACGCAAACGTTTATAACAGCACAATCATCACAGTCAATTGCTACTAAAAGTAGAAGCTGTTTAAGCAGTAGCCTTTTTGTCTCAATAAACAATTACACGGTTTCCATTTGTTCCACATTATGTCAGAGTAAAATACAGATGCAGTTTGCCAAGACCTCTGTTGTGATTAAAGAGGGCAGGACCAGAAAATAACCAAAGAGAATCGGGACGCAACCTGGATCGGTTTTGACCAACTTTCAAACTGAAAACAAAAATGTGTTCAAGCTAAACAAGGAAAGTGGAATGCATCTGTTCTGGATCAATTGAAGTGCACATTTCCATAGCACATAGGGTCCACCCCTATCCACACTGTTTCTAAGCTCTTTGCATGATTTTATTTTATTTTTTCCATTTTTACTCATAAACCCCTACAGTATGTTTGTTTTGTGAATGGTCTGTGCTTTTCTCATTCTTTTCAAGCCCATGTGAATTGTGTAGTCTATGAAAGATGTAGAGATGTCAATGTCCTAAACAGAAACATAAAAGAGAGATGAGGGAAGCAGAAGAGTGAGACAGGGCAAGATGCCAACATGCTGTCACCACGCCAGAACTAATCCACTCACCGTACAGTACAGCCTCCAAAGCCCTTATCACAGGGGCCTATAGGACCTATAGGAATCATCCCATATGCACAGACTGAAGAAGTACTGAGATACTTTTTATGAAGTAGATTTACATCAACAACAAGGCATAGGTGTGTAGTCCATAGTGTTTTAATCAGTTGCTCACTGATGAGGACCAGGGTAATGATTAAGTGAGCATTTCCTGTTTTAAGCCTTGGTTTGAATTGTAAATGAGGTTTGGAACTAGCCATGCAAAAATAACAGCTCTGAAAGGCCTCTACTGATATCTAAAGCCTATTGTGCACTGCACAGTTGTTATTTGAATTAAAAAGACATGATGAAATCCATAAACCTACCATAAACATGTGATTTATGAAAGCTGTTTTTAGTCTAGTGGTTTTATGGGTACTACTCACACTCCCTTTGCCACTTTATTTTTGGCTGCAGTAAATCATGCAGTGTGGCAGGTAACATGAGTCTAACTGTTTGGACCTTGAAACTGTTGCATTGTTGCAGTAGAATGCATGCAGTGTGAGGCAGGTGAATGTGCTTCAAGTCATTACTATAAAGCACTTTATACTTAATTCAAATGTTGGCAAGAAAGCAGTTTTGTTTTTATTATACATCCAAAAGAATATTACTAATACTACTAATAATAAAACTACTAATGTGCTATATTTATACTATAAGCCTACATTATTTTATGGAGTTATGTTATGTCCATGAGCTTTGAGTGGCAAACATCTAGGTAAAATTGGAAGTATGGGCTGAAGAAGGCATAATGACAATAAAAGCATGAATTGCGAAGGATTCAGTGTGTTTTTGTTTCATGCAGCTCAGTGCCCACCCTCTCCTTCTTTTGGTTGGCCTTTGTGATGCTCCTGAGTGACAGGTGGATTTAACCAATCACAATAAACCGTCTGACAGAGGAGGCTGATAGCTTTAGCTACACAACGCTAGGAACGGTGGCACTTAATAATAATCTGGGACAAATACAAAATTCAATAGAAGGTTACTTGGGTTAATTAGCTCAGTGCTCGCCTGCTATCTGTTTGTGCTACAGCATTTGTTCCTTACACAGAGATGAGTAGTAACACAAGTCTGATACATGACCCCAGTTTGTGTTGTTGACGTCATCATTGCCCTTAGTCACAGAACAGCAGAGGCCTACAGCTCCACTCTTCATCTGATGAGGACGAGGAGGCAGAGAGACAAATGAGTCAGCCCTGACCCCAGTCAAACACAGTGGAAAGCCAAGGTACATTTAGAGCTTGAAGCAGTTGGAATTTATGAGCAGATAATACAAGTGTTGTGTAAATTATTTAGTTCTGACAAAGAGTTTATGTTATTGATGGTATTGATTTGACTGTTTGAAGAGTTTCATAGCTCAGAAGGTAACATGAGGATTCAGGCAGAATTCTATGTTGTCTGTCTAGCATTGAAAAGCAGTTTGGCTCATGGTCCATGGAAGAAAATGTCAAGGTGCCCTATGTAACTTTCTGGTGTAAGGTTTGCCAAACTCTTGCCTCCATGAAGGTGTTATTGCCTTGTCTGGAATGCTCCACAGTATGGCATTAAATATATTTGTCTTGCATTTATTCAATTACATGTGTATATAACTCAAACATAACTGAAAAACATGCATTTTAACTGTCAGTAACGTCTCGTCTCAACAGATCTGTCTTGTGTCTTGGCCTGTTTGTCTCTGTGGAAATAACGTAAATTCCAGACTTTAAGCTGCTACTTTTTTTCTCACACTTTGAACCCTAATAAAAAATAAAACGATGCGACTAATATATGGACGGATTCGTTGTTTCGGCACATTGTCCATTCATATATACATGGTTTGGCAGTACAGCAGATATGCGCACAGCCTGAGTGCAGACAGCGTCGCGGTCTGTGCAGTTCACACATCTAGGATTAACATGAAGTTGCTACATTAGCTATTGTCAGCACACTCAAATAGTTTATTGCCATGTGATAAAATAAGTTATGATGTTAAATTAACATTAGTGAGGGGGATACTTCTTACCCATAAATGGTGAGAAGAAACATCTCAAACTTCAGTAGCTGGACATCCACTCATACCTGATTGACTGAACTAGCCCCGCCCCCGAGAGAGGCTGAAATCTGCTGAAATCCTACAAGACACTGACATGAAGACAAGACAGGACAGCTGCTCTTTCTGCAGGAGACATGCGCAGGGAGAGACAGGCGTGATGCGCTGAGGAAGATGCTCGTTTGATTGTGTTTTGAACAGTTATTTTGCACTTCATGCACACACCCTCCTCATGGAAAATACATGAAGAAATGCAGATGATGCAGCTTTTAAGTTAGTGGCAATTGATGTGGCTGTGGAAGAAGTGGAAGAGCTGCTGCTCAACATCAATGAGTCGATGGTGAGATTTTGGCTACGGCAGCGTGATTAACTAACTTAATGCAAAAAGACGACAAAAGCTTTCAGAAGCAATAAAAGCAGATGGCCTGAATTTGATAACATTCTTGAAGACATGGACATCTGTGGCTTACTGTATATTCAGGTGTGTTCTATATATGTACAATTTTAAAATTGTGTTAAAACTTCAGTTGATGCAGCATATATTCAGGTGCTCACTAGTCCGGAAAATAGGGTAGATAAATTTAATATGATACTGATCATCCTAGTCAAAAACATAACATCCCTATAGAGACAAACAGCTGGCCTCCCATAGACAAGTTACACAGAGCACCTTTAATATGTAGCTCTTAAGAGGAACACTGTGGGGAGAAACAAATGGTTGGTGTAAGAAATAGGGCTGAGTGATATGCACAATAATGTTTTTCTCTATAATTTGTCATACCCCTACCCTATATCTTTTTAAATCGCCTACAATTTCTTTTCCGAGCCTAGTCAGCCACTTTGACTGTGACATTGGCAGGCTGCCGCTCCTTTACCCCAGACTGAACAAGCAGACTTGAGGGGGAGCCAAGAGGTGTGGAAACAAGGCTCTACAATTTCCACAACATACATTTTCTCACAAAATTATATCGCTATACGCATCTTACAGGACCCGTGTTACGCTATTTTCTGATCTATATTATAATGTTGTTTCCTCACCACAAACATACCTGGAGTTGCGTTTTGTTTCACTCACACATGTTTAACACACAAACCCTGCATTTAGGCTGAATTTTTCTCTCAAACAGGAAACACTGCTCCACCTTGATGTCATGTGGTGATACAGGAAGTTCTCCACTGTGCTTTTAAACTCCATACACTTTCACTACAGTAATTTGATTACATTCAGCCCTGGAATTGGCCATCTCTATTGAACCTAAGATAAAAAGTAGCTGTTAACTTGAAAACTTATACTACAAAACATCACAAGGTAGAACAGAGGATTCTGATCTTTGGACATGTAGACTACTTAATAATAAAAGTTTACTCAAACATGTGTAAATTAAACAAAACAGGATTCTAGGTATGTTTTTGGCACATTAACAACAGTATAACTTAAATCTTTTAAGCTTAAAGCTCACAAGAGTTAATTTTACATGATAAAGGACCCTTAAATAGACCTTTAATAGCCTATATCACCCAGCCCTATAACACTTAAATAGAGCAAGGTCTAAACATTCTGTGCCCTACAAGAGTAATAAATAATCTTAACCCAAATCTTGTATATAAATAGTTCTGGGGGGTAGAAGAGGTAGATGGAAAACTGTGTGTCCTAAAACTTAACAGGTCTTTACAGAGTCCTAGTCTTGTAATATCCAAGGACCACTTTTAAACAATAGCAGGACACTGTCTGGCTTTGATGTCCCACTTTAAATGTTGAATGTGTAAAAATGCCACTTTGAGAGCCATTAAAACAATAATTATTTTTTGTTTTCCAGGTACAAGGAGCTGATGACGGGAAAGACCGCCAGGGAGATCATCGCTATTTTATGGACCTTATCTTTCGTCATTGGTCTAATTCCATTCTTTGGCTGGAATCAAAAACGCAAAAGCTGTCGCAATGGCACTTCAGGAGTCATCAACACTACAACTACGGAAGCTGCGGAAGGTCAAAAAGCAGCGAGCTTACTCTACAGCTGCAAACTCAGGTGTTTCTTTGAAACCGTGGTGGACATGCACTATATGGTCTACTTTAACTTCTTTGTCTGCGTGCTGCTCCCCCTACTAATCATGTTGGGGATCTATCTGAAGATTTTCACTGTAGCCCGCAAGCAGCTAAGGCAGATTGAGCTAAAATGTGTTGGTAATGGAGAGAGCCACCATCATGGACTGCTGCAAAGAGAAATACGTGCCGCTAAATCATTGTCAATAATCGTAGGACTATTTGCAGTCTGCTGGTTGCCTGTCCACATTCTCAACTGTCGAACTTTATTCTACCCCACGCTCTCGAAACCAGACGTTGTCATGTATGTTGCGATCATTTTATCCCATGCAAACTCCGCGGTGAATCCCATTATATACGCATACCGGATCCAGGATTTTAGGGACACATTTCGGAAAATCCTGGCGCAAAATTTTCTCTGCCGCAAAGAGGAGTTGTATCTTAGTTCAAATGGCAGCAAACGAAACAAAGACCAAATCCACATGACCATAGACCCTCTGCTATAGTGGAACGTTTCTTCAGTTTTTTATGGAAAATGTTTACAAAAAGGGTTTGATATGTGAAGTTAAAGACGCCTTGAATGTTTATTTATTAGAATCAGGGCTCTAAAAATGGTCTTACCTTTGTATTGTGAAGGTTTTTTAATGGCTAACTGGATTTGTAAACCTGTGAATAGTATCCAGACTTTACTACAGACCCTTTAAAATGCTTTGTGATCAGAATGTTCAAAACTCCAGAGTGGAGGCAAAATGAAGCATGTAATAATACGTTTTATTAAGTGACATCAGATTTAAATGCTACTGTCTTTATTATTTAAGTAAACAGCAATTTTGAATTGCCAGGGTAAAAATATCAGTTCTTCTTCGCTAATAAGAATGTTTTTTTCAAGCCTCACAATTGTATTTGAACTTCACTGTAATTTCACTATAATTTATACTTTTTATGAAATTTCTAATATATATGAAGCCAAATTGAAAACAATAGTGGTAAAACCTAAAAATCTGTTCCTTCATCAAAAATGCATAGAGATTATTTAATATTCTATTAAATAAACATCATGTTCTGCTTCACTTTTGCCTCCACTTGACTCCATTCTGGAATTTATAATGTTTTTGTTTACACATTTTTCAGGGTCAATTGATATTTGGCAGCGACATTACGCTGGGGGTGTTCTGCATGTATCTCTAATGGTGGAATATTTAGGGGTTACTATGGTGACACAATGCACACATTTGTAAACACTGTCAACAAGTTTTAAGTCTGAAAACACAAGAAAAATACAAAATGGATTTAACTATTCAACTAATTTTCAGGAGCCAGTGATCATTACGAGTGCTCATGGTCCTGTTTGGGTGTTTGATTTTCAGCAAAAATGGTGATAAACTGTTGGCTAATGCTAGCTAGCCTGTGACTGTAATGTTATTTGAGAGGGACATGTTTAACAGCACAATGGTCAGATTGTGTTGATTATGATCAACACAGTCTGACCATAATCTTTTTATGGTCAGATTAAAGTTTAACAAGCCTCAGACAGAGCAGTGCCTACAGTTAGCATCACACCCCCCAGGGAATGTTGATGACATCAGCTGCAAAGTATCAGTACAAACACTATTTATCGAAGAAAGTCACCTTGTTACCACTCAACAACACTCCTGCTATTTTATACATTGCCAGTGTTATTAACTTATTTATTATGTTGAGAATGTAATGATCAAATTATGTGGCTTTATTTGTACTTGACTTAGAAACAGTCATTTTGTGGTAGACAAGTTCAAGGTTCACCTCCTCCAAAATTAAAGGGCCTATATTGTGCTTATTTTCTGATTTACTGGTATGTTATAATGTCGTTTCCTCATCGACTCACACACCCTGTGTATTTAGGCTGATTTCTTCTCTCAAACAGAAAACACTCTGTTCTACCTCGTGACGTCATGTGGTAATACAGGAAGTGCTCATAACACCTTCTCTAGAATAATTTGGTTGATTTCAGCATTGGAAGGTGGTACAGAGCATTTTGAGCTTTGGAGACGCAGACAGACCAATAATAAAGGATTACTCAAACAAGTGTGAATGAAACACAACTTCTGACATGTTTTTGAAGAGGTAACAACATTATAACATAGCTTACAGCTCACAAGAACCCATTTTGTGTAATATGGGACCTTTTAAGTGTATTACAACTGACCAGCTGCTTATTATGTGAAAAGATGGCAAAATAAGGATTTTTCAAACAGTACTGTGCAAACTATGTGAGACATTTTAGTGAAGATAAATATAACCGGGACAGTATTTTAAGTTCTATTGTTTTAAGTTAGTAGTGAACAAAAGAACAAAATATTCTTTTCAATAGATTCTTCACCATTGTGAGAAATCCGAGACCTGAGGCTCGATGAAAAGAGCCTTTACATTGGTCAGTATCATTACCATTGCGAGATAGGAACAGTGAGTTGGGACTGAACCAGGGACTTTAGTCCTTATTGTCTGTTTTTTAATATTGTGCTTTTTGTACATGTGTTTGTTTATTGCCTTTGAATTGAGGAAGACTTTTAGTGTGCATTATTTCATTGTAGATACTTTAGTTGCCTTTAACCAAGTGCCAGAAATTCCACACCAAATCTCATTCAAACCTGTGTAAGCAACTGACTGGTGAAATGATGGCCTATTTAGTACGAGGAAGTAGTTCTCATGGTAATTAATTGGTTGATGATGTCTCAGTCAACCAAATTCTTTAGTCTTTTTCTTTATTTAGTCAACTAAATATTTTATTAAGATGAAAACGTTTTATACAGACCACAGCAGAGAGGAGAATGCATGGAGTGAATTAGTTGAAGCGTTGGAAGTGACTGGGCACTTTAATCTGCCTTTTCATTTGCCATGTATTATTAGTACTTCTCTGATACATAGTATTTTGGCCCGAGATCTTAACACTTTTCAGCTTTTGTCAGTACCACACCGTCTTTTAGTCAATTAATCAAAGTACAGGGCATGTCTTTAGTCGACTACAGCCATATTTGGTAAATATGAAAGTGACGGCTGCAGCTGGAGCAGGCCATGTTTCGTATTTTTTCTACAAACAAGAGCTCAGGATGTTAATGTCGAATTTATGGTAACGCCTCCGCAGTACAGACAGACCATCAGAGCAATTTGAGCTTTTTCTGTATCCTCACACAGGCCTGTCACGATAATTAATATAACGACTTCTCATTCAATACATAATAGAAGGAACAATCATATTTAGGGATCAGTATATATCGTGGGTACTTTTTCACTGAACTTGTGGGGTCTTTTTTCTTTTTTTTTTCTGCAATATATATATTTTAGCTAGGGGTTAAATTACAAATTGTTGCATTCTACTTTTTATTTATTGCAGTTCAACAATATTTAACAATATTGTACATTTAGAATAGTTTTTGTGGATAATTCTGCTTTATGGTGCGTGTTCAATAGTATTAGTTATGGTCTATATTTATTTTAGCAATATATCAAACTTCAGATTTGTTATCGTGACAGGCCGACCCCCACACCCACACCCCCTCATCTCTGTTACAATCAGGCCCGTCGACAGAAATTTGGACACATGGGCCCGTTTTAATGTAAATTAATAGGAAGAGGGTCCAGTTTTGGGCCTCTAAAACCCAACAGACCCCTTTGCCCCTGCTATGTTTACTGCCCTGGTTACAATCAATCCTTTCCTTCAATAACCATGCATAGCTTTATACACTACTTAATCCAGTTGTATTACAAAGCAAAAATGCATCTAACACTTAAGAGAAACCACAGAATAAAAGAGTGCAAACAAATTAAATTAACCTGTGTGGCCTTAGTGTGATCAATCGGCCTGTCAATACCTAATGCTATTTTAATGATCAGCCATTGTCTCTCATTAGTCATTTAGCGTCAGACAGAAGCTGTGACCTGAGTCTACCTCCTAGGTCACATGTTGAGACTGACCAGATGTGAACAGGACAGACAGAGGTTTTACTGCTTATCAATACATTCCCACCAATCAATATCAGATGAGAGGAGGTCTGATAAGGCAGGGGTCAGTGTGTCTGGGTTTAATGGGGCGGTCCTTTGGTAAGACAATATGATGGAATTTAGGAGTCACTGAAACAAAAGTCATTATATATACATATATATATATATATATATATTTTTTTTTTTTTTTTTTGACAATTTTGACAAAACAAAAACAAAAATAGACAAAAAACAACAACAACAACCCCCCCTCCCCCCCAAACCCTCCCACATCCCAACCTTCCTTCCACACTTTGCAGTCTAATATGTAACTAAAGTAATTTATAAATAGAATACATAACTAAACATTTTTATTTGCATTTTGGTTGTCAATTGTACAATAAGTGCATTACATTGATCAATATAATTTGAACTTGGTCAAACTAACACATTTTAAAGATCGCCAAACATTAACTAAGAAAGGCGTAATGTGGTTTGTGCCAAATTAAACATGTTCAGTAAAATCAGAGAACTACAATTATCAGATAAGATAAATATTAGCTAAAAATGTATTTGTAAATTTGTAAATGTATTTTAAATGCATTTTTATTTTATTTGAGCAATGTGTTCACACATTCACACAGTGTAACACAATGAAAATTAAATAGAACATTTTTAAACATTTTCATTTTTGTCTTTGCCACTTTGGTTTGCATCATTGCATGCATTTCCCTCCCAAACCTGCACAAGTGTGAAAAATCAGACAGAAATCTGATTACTCATGCAAGAGTTTAAACGACACATAATCTGATAAAAGCAGCACTCCGATAATGATCAGGTCTATCGTGTGTATGATGTAAACACAAATAGTGACAATTCATTTCCTTGTGGTAGAGCCAGTCATAGCAGTACTCTTCTTTTGCCCTACTAAACTGCCACCATCTCCTCAGCAATGTAACTTATTACCCCACTTCTGATACAAGGGCTAAACAGGAGTGTGCCAAGCCTCTCAAGTACATTCCGATGGAGACATATAAACTGTAAATGCACTGTACGGCCTTGTAACTTTGTCGTGTTCAAATTGTTTTGTTGAAAAAGTACTGTAGTCGTCTGGGATCCTTTACTTTTTGGAGCTATGGACCAATGTCAAACTTCTATCTTCTGTGAACTTGTGATCATGGGTGAGCCTAGGTGATCCAAATCCAGTTCCTTTGTCTTCATTCCACCCTCTGTACTGTCCGTGTAGTGTTTTGTATAACCAGGACGCTATCTTCAATCTACAACTTCAGATTTTCATTGCTGTTAAACATGATGCAATCTATATGTATGGTGAATTATTTTGTTAATAAAGCCAATGTTTATATTGTTACAAAGGGCTCTTTATTATTTACTCTGTTACATGAACAGATTAGCAACATAAGGATAATATTGTGAATGTTGTTTCAAAGATAGGCAAATCATAAATAAATGCTGAAAATGTTGCAGATATAGTCTGAATATAGTTACGCAAATATAGTACAGTAAGTAAGTCTCAAGTCATTGACCTCAAATCCGAGTCAAGTCTCAAGTCAAATACAGGCAAGTCCAAGTCGAGTCTCGAGTCACTGGCCCATAAGTCCAAGTGAAGTTCAAGTTGTCTGCTTTGAGCTTCAAGTCATTTCATGTCTTTAAACCAAAGTACCAAATATATCTTAGATTTTTGCAATTTATATGAATTATAAGATAAATTGTACTTATAAAGTCATGGTATATTTATATATGAGTATTTATAGAGTATATAAGAGTAGTAGAAATGCATTTTTTTCCCTTTTTAAATGTCTTGACAAAATCTTAGAGTGAATCATTACAGTCAAAATAGAAAGAACTCAGATTTAAAAGTGCTTCTCAAGTCTTCTCAAGTCACAGGCCTCAAGTCCGAGTCAAGTCCCAAGTCACTGACCTTCAAGTCCAAGTCGAGTCCCAAGTCTTACTCCATTTTATCAAGTCAAGTCTCAAGTCCTAAAAATAGTGACTCAAGTCTGATTCAAGTCCTAGTCACGACTTGCAAGTCCCACCTCTGCCTTATGCAACTTTAAGGTTAAGGTTAAGATACAGTTTTAGGGATATTCCTAAAAATATTGAAATATTTAATATGTATAATTAATATCTCAACTGCCTGTAAATTTCTTGTGACCATTAAATTTAAGAAAAATTGAAGAAAAATCACTTTGTACCCTGTCTGGAAGATTACACTAAACATTTTAATGATAGACCGTGTACTCCATATTCTAATTGTGCATATCTCCAGAACTGCTATTTTTCTCTACATGCCCCACATCTATTGCTCCGTTTATGTACAAGACTGGAATAAATTTAAACCAGCAGCTGCTCATCTAATAGCTAAATAAACCTAAAAATAACACACTTAAGATGAATAAGAGTTCAATAAATAAAACGACATCTGGCGTCTTCCACAGGAGCCTCATACTCCTCTTAAAGTCTTTTGTACCACTTCTCTTTGACATATTCCAGGGCTCACCAGATTAGAGGCTCTCAAAACGCTGTGGTGCTGAGCAAAGTGGTCATCTCCTGGTCAGACACGGCCTCCTGCTGAGTCACGGCCATGGCCTGAGACAAATACACGGCGAGGAGGTGTTTGCACTGAGAAAATAAGATACTATCAGTGAATGCAGCCAGACAGGTCAATATAGTATGTGAAATGATACATGCAGCTGAAAGCAGCTTCTTCCTTTTCATTCATAAAAATACTCAGAAACTACAATTATTTTCCCTATAAGGTTGTGCATTAATCAAAATTTAAAATGGATTCAGATTCAGTCATTTCTAAAAGTCAATAATCACCATAGGTCTTTTTAATCAAGAGGTCCACAGCCAATCCTCTGTCAGTAAAAGCTCAGATTTTGTTTAAACTTTAGTGGATGAAATTTGAGAATTTTTGTGTTTTAAAATGGCACTGATTAAAAGTCTGCGTTGCTTATGTTCAGGAAATGACTTTGAATGAGACATGAGAAAAGAGAAAATTGAAAACTGAAAGGCGTGATTGAATGTGAGGGAAAAAAAAGAGTGATTTTTTTTATTTTGCCCAACCCAACATAATATATAATAATATTTGTGCACCCCATCTATAGCAATCATCATACACTAAACCTCACCTAACCCCTTATGTTATGATACTAATACACTAGCAACAGTTTGATAGCAGTCACATTCTGAACAATACGCAGCAATGTACCACACAGCTTTATTTTCGCTGAAAGGCCCTAGTTCCTGCGCATGGTGCCGTAAAGAAAGGAGCAGTACACTATTTCTAATTACAGAGATAAAGACCAAAGCACCATTGTGAGATCTGATGAGCCAGCTGCCTGCTCAAAGGGCTGTGCTATTAATCACATTTAAATCGAGTTCGAGAGTCAGTCATGTCTAACTGTTAAAGACACAGTATGTAACTTTTTAGCCAGAAAATAGAGTACAATAATAGCACTTTTCTTTTTTATTTGAGACTTATCTTATTGCAGTACTTTTAACTTTGTATTTCCATGGAATCATGCAGGTGAAAGTGACGTACTGTATCTTTAATGATATGCTTATGTGGTTTGCGTAGAGAGGTCGAGAGGCAATCCTCGATCAGTAAAAGGATGTGGTCTGGAGAAGAGTTCAAACTTTGGGTAAATAAATTTGACTTATGTTCTGTGTTAATTAGCACCGGTTAAAAGGTCTATCATGGAATAAGTATTGACAGCTATTTTATGTTGTTTTGGAAAAGAAAAAATTATCAAAATAAACAATCAATTCATTATCATTTTTGATTTGGGTTTTTTTGCCATATTTCCCTGGTTTCTATCAGAGAACTAATGGCTGCTCTCCACAGTATGGTGCATGTCTGCTTTCTCACACTGATTTTAGCCACATCCTCAGGGGAAATCCAACTTTCTGATATTTGGACAGAGGCAGGGGTCATCTGCTCAAAAATATTTGGAGTTCTCAAACAGCCAATGGGAGCAGAGACGCCCCCTAGAGGAAGGACAAAAACAGGATCTCTGCACAGTCTACACATGGGACACAGACTGCAACAGAGGGGAAGAACCAGGAAGCACAGATCACTGACAAGAGACGAAACTTCTGCCAGAAATCTCCCAATGTCAATATAATGCAACTGGATTGTTAATATATGTGCCAACTTCTGCAGTCATAACTCATTTGGGGATTGGCTACTGGCAATGTACTCCAGTTTTTTTTATATTAAAGTGGGCGAGCTTTTAAAATAGGCACAGTAGGCTAATAAAAATATTTAGATGCTTTTCTTTGGGATTTCCCATTTCAGCAAATCCTTTCACTGTCTCCATAAACATATAATCATCTATGTATTTATTTATATATGACTAAAGGAGTCAGTTGGTAGGCCTGTCAACAAATTTTGAAGTGAAGTTTTTCCTCGGGGAGCTACCTTTACAAAACGAAAATTCCAGAGAGCTACTAATTCAGCAGTTGCAGGAAATAAAGTAAGAGCCATGACAAGACTTGGATGGGGTACAGTTAGATAAAACATAAAACATAAACCATTGTAAATGATAGATTTACAATAATAATAGGCATTTAATTAATCAAATGTGAGTTTTTCAGGACAATACTCGTAATTGAGAAAGTCCTCGGCGAGCTGCTTGGAAGGGGGTGGAGAGCTACAGGTAGAACCCAAGCTACAGTTTGGAGACCCCTGATATAAAAAATATACAATAATATTTAAACTAATTTATACCACTGACATAATAACCAAAAGGCAGGATTATCCTCCCAAAAATTCTAGATGTATAATATGGTTAACTGCAAAAAATAACAGAATGAAATGCTTTAGTAGTTAGGATAAATCTATAATGAGTCATAGAAGTTCCTCTGCAGCTCAAATCTTACCAAAATACAGAAAATTTACCAAGAATTTCCTATTATTACATAGAAAATGTACAATAATTATTGACCCCCCCAAAATGATTACCTGTCAACTGTCTGAAAATGCTGCAAACATGTTGATAAATATTGAGGATATTGAGGACAAAAATATATTGTTCATCTTTTATTTATTGAATCTTATCATGACAGGCCAAGTCCTTCCTGACAGTGTGCATATGGACAATACAAGTTTTTGCACTTAATTTGTTGATTTGTTGTAATTTTTTGTTTTTTTTGTTCTTGTAACTGATTTCTCTCGCCAATCCTTGTTATCTTGGCCTACATCATCAGAGGTATAATACTCCCTACAACAGAAGGACAAGGCTGGACTCCACTAAACAGGCCTGGACAATACTGTCATTTTGTCTATGGGTGCTTTGGGGGGTCCTACTGATGGTAAATAAACTTTTCCTAAGTTAGAACTCTAGCCTCATGTCTCTTCTCTTCAGCTCTCGGACAACAACAATTTATTCTACAACTCAGATCACAGTGTATTTGACTGTGGTCATTTGAAGTTTGTATCAGACTGTTGTGACTCACCAGCAGCCCCTCATTCCTGCGGAGAACAGTGTAAGCAAAGGCTGGACAGGGACAGAAGTGACAGGACACGAAGCAAGTGTACACGTGACCAGAGCCTCCAGTGACCTGAGAACAATAAGAAAAACACACTACATTTGTACTGTTTAAAAGGCTTATATTACGCTCTTTTCTGATCTATGTTGTAATCTTGTTTCCTCATCCAAAACATACCTGGACTTGTGTTTTTTTTCATTCGCACACACACACACACACACACACACACAGCATATTTAGGCTTCGAGTTTGAGTTCTTTTCTCAAACTGAAAAAACTGTCATGTGTATTTCCACCTTCTGATGTCATGTGGTAATACAGAATGTGCTCCACTGTGTCTTTAAACTCCACATACCTTCACTAGAGTTTTTTTTAGTTTTGGATAATTTCAGCTCTGGAATTGCCATCTGAACTGAACAAAAGGTAAAGGGTAGCTGTTAACTTGAAAACTTGAGCATTGGAGATGTAGACAGACTACTAATGCAGAAATTTAAAGCTCACAAAAAACTATTTTGCGTAATACAGGACCTTTAATATACAGTTTAATGTAGGACTTCACAATATATTACAATTTAATCAATGATGCAATTGTCAAAAGGCTGCATTTAGATAATAGAATGTCCTCTTCAAATAACTAAATATCCACTGTCTTTACATAGAAAAATCCTGTTGTACCTGTAGTTTAGACCTCTACAAACATGTTCTTGAAATGCATGGGGTTCTTATATTACTGTATCAGTTCATATTTCTTCTCTTAAATGCTGACGCTCCTGGGGTTGTTTACAATGTGCACTCTGAACAGAATCCTATATTGCAAATCTAATCTCAATGACAATACTACAAATAAATTATTTTAAAGTGGTGGTGAATATGTACGGTAGGTGAATGGTTCATCATTTGTAACTGTCATGACAGATAAAATGCTTTGAAGAGAGTGAATACAGAATAAATTACATAGGCTATCTCACATTCACAGCCTGTGGTGGGTCCTTTTGTTCTCCACTGGAATATTTATAAGCCATTTTTCATTGTAACAAAGATGTGACTAATTGAATATCTAACTTTGGTGTTGAAATAGTATATTTCATTGAGATTTTAAGTTCTTAACCAGACATTTCTCCAACAGTGCTTAAGACTGAATTATGTTGAAAACATCTGCACTGTATTTTTTTCATGCCACCTGCTTGTCTCCATGGAGATGCTAGCATTACTTGCCCAGAATGTTCCACAGTATATTTACGTATCTTGTGATGTCACCAGGCCAAGTTACTGGTCACATGGAAAGGCAATTGAAAAACACTTACATACTTATATATATATTAAATAATTAAAAGTCTGAATCATTCTTAATAATTCTCAGTTCATTATGAATTAAGTCTTTCATCAAGGCTAATTAAAGAATAGTTAATAGTGTAACCAGCTCCCACACTTATTTTAGCGTCCCTTAAAAGTCACTAGTTTAATACTTTGCCAGCAGTATAAGCCAGGCCCATTGTGCAGTCGGGTTAGATGAGAATGTTCTGGGACCATGCCGGGGGATTCCTGGTAAACGGATACGGGGGCACCGCAAATACAAAATACACATTTCACTGTCTCTGCTAACTCAATACTTTATTTAATTTTATCAAAGGATTTATAGTGTAATATTAGATTTGTTTCACAAGATTTCAGTGTTTACATAATAGAGTATAATTAAGATGGCAACAAACTGAAAATTATTAAATTGTGTAAAACTATTAGGAAACTTAACACCACAAAGTAATTTAGTTAAGTATTTAGCTAATTGCAAATAAATTATCATAAAAGCAACATATGTCTAAAGCATTTTAGTATTTCCTCTTATTTTACTGATGTGTGTATTTTACCTATAACCATTGTTTACAGTTATATAACCATTGTAGTGTCTTTTAAATAGTAATGCACTATTGCGTTCAAGTATTTTCTCTTGTGGATGAATACAGTTTGTCCCAGTCAGTAAATAGAACAAATTACATTAGACAAGCTTTAGTAGATGCTTTACCATTGCAATATATTACATTTGCTTATAATAATATGTTTCTGTATTTATCAAGTAAAAATAATGGTTTTAAGTATTCAACAGATGCAAGGAGGGCAGAAGAAAGTTTTTCTTCTAAACATTTCATATTAAATGATAGAACACTGGATATATTTACACACACAAAAAAAATCTGATCATGATCTAACTTCTGGAGTTATCAGAGTATTGAAAAGTCATGTGTGAACAGTTGCTCAGGTAAAAATCACAAATTAACTGACACATGCCACAATTTTTTGTTTGTGCATTTAAGCACACCCAAATAAAGGTTCAGTTCATTGTGTTGTTCATACAGACCCTGACATGTTTTGAATGCCTTCTGCACCCTTTTTCAGAAGGGTCAAGTGATTTTGCTGTGACGTGTCTTGGCAGCTGATTTACGCAGATTTTGGCCATTCTCCTGCATTGGCAAAGGAATAGCGCCATCTGAAGTCCAACTTATCCAGGACCCAAGTCCTTGAAAGTGGATAAGTCCCCTTGTCCCTGTTTACTGTCCTATGGGACATTAGCAATTAATTGGGATGTTGTCCTCCAGCAACACAAATGCTGGATTAAGGAGGCTATTGAGATCAGAAAACAAGCCCCTGTGTAAATCACGTCACCATAATATTATGTGACCCTTCTGAGGAAGGATGCAGAAAGAAAGGTACGTGTAAACAACACACTGGTCTGTTAAAAATCACCTCTGTTTGGAAATAATATTGAAAAACCAAAATAAGCCTCTCTCATGTAAACATATACCAACATTTTTCATCTAATTATTGGGTTATCAGATTATTCGAGTTATCTGATTTCACTGAGCCTGTAAATGTACCCAGTGTTTCTTATCTGCAGCAGGATTGCTGTTTGTGTGTGTTTTGAGCAGACATTGATTTAGCTGTGGTGTTCACGCCCCTGACACATGAGTACATTAGCTGTGAGGATAGGCTCGACACTGCTAATAACTAATGCCTCCAACAATGGCAGCCCTGGCTCCATTATTCTGTGCTGGGCCCATAAATCAGATCTGCTCGTGACCTAGAGAGGCAAACTACCTCATCTGTTAAAACAGTTAAAACTAAAATAGGCCTCTGCAATCTTCCACAATTATCAAAGTGCAAAGGCTGCAATTATTTTGATCATAGAATGCCAAATTAGGGAAAGTGATACTGGGGTAAAAAAAAAATTAAGATTGTGAATTTCATTGTATTGTGATAAATGCCCTGTACTGCACTATCTACTAACTGTTTAATCACAAAAAGATAATAGATAATAACAATCTGCAAAGAGCAAAATATCTTTTTACAAAACAATCATGTTGTATCTGTCATTTAGACTTCTACTTTATTCTGAAATGTACTGCATATTAGTTTATCCCTTCATATTTCTGTCTTTCAAATGTTAATGCTCCTGATGTTATTTACAATGTGAACTGCAATATTTTATGTACTTCTTCATAAAAAACACTATCCCTGTAGTTTAGATCTGTAGAAACATGTTCTGATATGTTTATTGTATTATTATAGTTTATCAGTTCATAGTACATTAGTCAATTTTTTTGGATGCATTTAAAATGTGAACTTTGAACAGAATCCTTTTATTAAAAATGCACTGCACAGCCTTTCTGGTGGAGGGTCTGCCACCTACTTGTCTAAATAGAGTTTTTGCTTTGCCTGAAATGTTCCATAGTATGACATTAAACATTTCTATCTAGCATTTATTCATTATGGGTCTTTCTATGGTGCAGAAATACAGTAATTCCTTCTGTCTAGGGGTGACTCTCCACGGATCTGAATTGTAATGTAGTGTAGTGCTGTGGCCTGCTTGTCTTCCTCACGATAGATAAGTTTAATCTATATTGTGGAACATTCTAGACAAAGCGATAATATTTCCATGGAGACAAGCAGGTGGCAGACCCTCCACTAGAAATGTTATGGAGTGCACCTTTAAAACATATATTTTAAAACTAATCGCAATTGTAAAACTTGCCCGAGATATTTTTTCCAAAATTGTGCAGCTCTATGTCACAATTACAAGGACTGGGCTCTGTGCTGATATGAATACAGCTGGCCATCATGAGGATAAAAGGCAGTGTAACTTGGGGCCAACTTTCTACAGAAACGGGTTAGTTGAAAAACAGATCACACTCTGGCTCTGCTGCAGCTCAAGGGTTTTCCTCAACAGGACACTAAATCAGGCGCTGCCGTTTGGCCCCAAAAAAGCTCAATCACAGAGGAGGACTTCTCAGGATACTGTCATGTAGTGTAAGGGTTACTCTAGTCTGGACCCTCTGCTCGCTGTTCACAAAAAGATAAACAAGCAAGACAAATCCAGCATCTGTTTTGAAGCAGTTTGAATGTCTCTTGGCCAGACCTCCCATGAAAAGGAGATTGGTGAAACTCAATGGGAATTACCCTAAGGCTGCACAAATTTGGGGATAAAAAAGTAGATGAATATGTAAGTGATTTTACTATTGATTATGTGATAAGTAGGGCTGTCGATGAATCAATTGATCATGCCTTAGTCAACCAATATTTGCATTTGTGGATGGGTCTTGTTATTCGGATGATAAATATTTATACGAGTGAGTGGCTGAAGATTTGATATTCTTGGCATTTATATGTACAAAGGCAGATTAAAGGTACTATATTACACAAAATTGACTCTTGTGAGCTTTAAACAAAGCTCTGTTCCACCTTGTGATGTCATGAGGTGGTAGCATCTACCTTTACTATTTGTTCAGTAGAGATCGGCTATTCCAGATGGGCATAAATCATCCAAATGATTCTACTGAATGTGTGTGGAGTTTAAAAACACAGTGCAGCACTTCCTGTATTACCGCATGACACCATAAAGTGTGTATTTATGCCAAGTTCTTCTCTCAAATAGGAAATACTCTGCTCCAGTTTTTGTGTTAAAAATGTGTGAATGGAACAAAACACAACTCACAACATTATAACACAGATTAGAAATAGTGCAATATAGACCCTTTAAACTCATGATTCACAAGTTTGCCTTCATATAAATACATTGCCATAAATGTAATCATTTTTGCCACACCCCCTTGTTTGTCCATTAATACAGTCCCTGACAAAAGTCTTGTCACTTATCCATTTTGTAGAAACAAAAGCTTATAACCTGAGTTTAAATTAATCGATTGGTTTTAGAAATGTCTCATATGAAAGCTAGAACGCTCCCAAATTATGCTCAATAAACTAAAATAAATTTGCTTCACTGAAGAAAGATTGATCATTTAATGAACACAGAAAGGTCAGATTTTGGCAAGACAAAATTCTTGTCGCCTACAGAAAATTGAACAAATAATTTACTTCAAATACAAAAATATGTTGCATAACGTCAGTGAATTAAGTAGTGGTGCTGTGAGATCCATATTTAATATCTTGTATGACTTCCGTGAGCTTGAAGGACTGCATCCATGCGGTTCGACAATGATTCATACAATTTGTTGATGAAGTCATCAGGAATAGCAAAGAAAGCATCTTACATGCCTCCCAGAGTTCATCAAGATTCTTTGGTTTTGCCTTCCATGCTTCCTCTTTCATTCTACCCCAGACATGCTCAATGATGTTCTTGTCTGGTGACTGGGCTGGCCAGTCCTGGAGCACCTTGATCTTCTTCGCCTTGAGAAACTTTGATGTAGAGATAGAAGTATGCGATGGAGCACCATCCTGCTGCAAAATGTGACCCCTTTTATGGTTGGGAATGTAAGAGGAGCTAATACTTCTTGATATTTTAGGCTATTGATATTGCCTTCCACCCTGCAAATGTCTCACACACCCCCATACTAGATGGAACCCCAGACCATGATTTTTCCGCCACCAAACTTAACTGTTTTCTGGGTGAATCTTGGATCCATGCGGGCTCCAGTAGGTCTCCTGCAATATTTGCGGCGGCTGTGATGTAATTCAACCGAGGATTCATCTGAGAAATCCACCTTCTGCCACTTTTCCAGTGTCCATCCTTTTAGCAGGCTGTGGGCCTTGGCAAATGCCACACGGTTTTTTAATTGCCTTTTGTTTAGTGCTGGTTTTTGTGCACTGATTCGACCATGGAGGCCATTTCGAGACAGAATTCTACAAACTGTTCTGGTTGACACAGGGACTTGAGGTGACCAGGCCTGGTGGAGCTCTGCTGCAGTGGAAAAGGGGCTGGCCTTGGATTTTCGAATGAACAAACGGTCCTCCCGAGCAGTTGTCTTGCGGGGTCTGCCGGACCTGGGCTTGTCAAAAACATCTCCAGTCATTTCAGATCTTTTTCTTATTCTTTGTACTTGACGCTGAGACACAGTGAAGGTGTCAGCCACCTCAGCAGTGGATCTGGTCTGGACAAGGCGACAAGGCTTTTATCTTGCCAAAATCTGACCTTTCTGTGTTCATTAAATGATCAATCTTTCTTCAGTGAAGCAAATTATATATGTATATACATATGAGACATTTCTAAAACCAATCGATTAATTTAAAGTCAGGTTATAAGCTTTTGTTACTACAAAATGGATAAGCGACAAGACTTTTGTCAGGGACTGTAGATCAGCAGGATACATTGACTGACGTTGAGTTTCTTTAATGGACTACAGCCCGAGTGATTAGATTTTCAATAAATGTTCAATAAATGTTTAAAAAGTAGGATTCTGAATATTCAAGAGAAGGCTGAACTGTATTTCAGAACATGTTTGCAGAGGTCTAAACTACAGGTACAACAAGAGTTTTCTACTGTAAGACATTTTGTTCTTTGCAGAGGACATTCTATTATTGAAGTAAGTGCAGGCTTTGTGACTTGATAATTGCACCAACTCATTATGCAGCCCTAATAGCAGTCAGCAGCAGTGTTGGTTTAGTTGTGGCAATGTTTTAACTTTTCGTAAAACCAATTTCTATTAAAAGGTGCACTATGTAACTTTTCTGGTATGCCACTTGCTTTCTCCATTGCTTTGCCTGCAATTTTCCCACAATACTACATTAGAAAGTCTTTTTTTTTTTTTTTTTTTACAATAAAGACACCAGCAGTTAAATATGTTATAAATAGAATGGTTTGGTGGCTTTATGTGAAAAACTCTAGCCAAATCAATAACATCTCCATAGTGACAGATAGGTGGCAGAACCTCACCAGAAAAGTTACATAGTGCACATTTAATTGATGTAGTTTTTAGAGCTAATATTTTGGTGCAATTATTTTTTCTAACTTGTTTTATAGTCTCTCCGCCTCTGCACATTTCACATCACCTCAGCAGCAGCAGTGTGACTCAGAGCAAACTCTTTAAATACTTTTAATTATTGCTTCTCTGCGGCTAAATAGGCTTGAGTCTCCCATGAATTCGACACATTAACTCCAAGTGAACAACATCGCAATAAAAGACTTTTCAGGAGCAGCAGCACAAGCTAAAGTTAGCAGCGTTCATGTACAGCTTCCTCTGCTATTTAGGGCACTTCTGTCTCTTTGAAAACCACACACCTGACTCATAGAAAACTTCTCCTTCCTACTTTTATAAAACTTAAAAAGAGATTTCAGTGGTCTTTTATACAGTCCGTTTTGTATATGATGCTCACATAGATCTAGTCTACTCTGTGCATGTTCTCTCCATCAGGATTTGGCACAGACAGCCGATCAGTCTGAAAAGGTCATTGAATGTTAGGAACGAAACAAGGTGAAAAATCCCAGCAGCCAAATGTCACACACTCATGTGTTATTCAGGCTCTGGAAATAGAGGAGCAAATTACTACAAGCAAATACAAATAGGAAATAACAAAATTGTGTATTACTTTAGTTATAACTGCTGATTTGGCAGCAAAACATGTCAGAATGTTGAGGCAGCTGGATGTCAAGCTGAATTGCTTTAATCAATTTGTATTAAAATATTCAGTAAAATAAGTATAAAGATTAAATTTGAATTATAATGTTGACATCTGTATATTTGGTCAATTATTTGGTCCAAGGTTATACTACAGGAATTTTATATCTTTAAGGGATTCTTTTTTGGTGTTAACAATTAAGACAGAATTTCTTTTCACAAAATTCCTAAGAATAATTGTAGCAATGAACTGTCTTTTCCTGTGAGGTGGTCTGTTCTTGGAGGGTCACAACTGCACCATAAATCTCAAACAAATGCCTTCAAGCTCTCAGTTTTGAGCTGATGATTTCTGAAAAACTGCTGCACTGATGACAGTTCACACTGAATGTAAGGTTTCTTGAAACATTCTCTATTTAAAACATTTTTTGATGATTCAAATCCATATATATATAATCAAATCACTTATTCCATCATTTATTAATATGGTTTTGCATCAGTAAAAAATCTACAATAACCAAGTTCAAATTTCAATTAATAACTCAGACAAATTGTTAATGCCTTAATTAATTAATTATTATTTTCATTTCAAAGAAATACAGCAAAACCTCCAAGATAAAGGTATTCTAGAGATTTCAAAGAGACTCAGCGTAAAAGTAAAAGGCTGATTTTAGCCTCATTGTGTTCCTTTTAAGTGCTTTGACAGAGACCTGAAAGAGTTTACAGGAAATATGGGTCACAGAGACCACAGACAAAACTAGTTTGTTCTCCACAACACCACAATGAGGAAACTAATATTTTATATAGATATTTTCATCATTAGTACAAATGAAAAGTCAAATTTGAATAAATTTGTTTAATTCATGATTTTTTTTATTTATTCTGATTCGGTCTTAAAATCTAGAGAGCTCCTTCTGTACTGTTTTTAATAATAGTTTGACGAACCTGAAAGGTTCTGCGTCCACTTGGAGAAGAGAGACAGGTGACGGAGTGCTGATCAACCAAATCCAAAGCCTGGAGCGCACATGGGCCAAATATAAACTTCAGTCTGGGACAGACAGAGAATTGCAGCCATTTCACTTCAAACATTCAAAACAGTAATTTTGACAAACATCAACACTGTAAATGACCAAAACACAAACACAACAAACACAAACTAGAAACTTGCTTTGATGGTCTGGTGCAACATAAAACAATGAATAATAATACAAAATATAAACAATGACAAAATAAAAAATAGAAATAAGGGCTTTAGGGATTTCATGCTTCCACTTGTGGACAATTATCTTGTAAGTTTATTTTTTTATCTTGTTTTTGTTTTGTTTTTTTGGATTGGATGAAAAATGATTAAATGCTGGTGACTTGATATCTTCAGAAGGTGCAGTCCCATAAAGCAGTGCTACAATAACAGCAAAAGTGTCAAATAAATAAAAAAAAAACTGCAAGGGCAAAAAATGAGAACTGACCCACACTGTTTATTGTAAATTAAGATCAAAATCTTGTCGATCTTGCGGAAGCAAGGTCAGGTCGCATTTTGGTTTGTAGGAATTATGTCTTGTCCCACCCTTAAAGGGCATGCATTAAAAAAAGAAGAAAAAAAAAGACTGCCTGAATATACAAAATATACTGTATGGGTAGAACTTTCAGTTGAACTTTAAGTCAGATTACTTATGGTCCAAGAAACAATGTTTCCATTGACTGACGAGCCAGTCCCTTCTACAATCCACTCTGAGTTTTGTCAAAGCATGTGATTAACAATGAATAAGTAAGCAAATTTGATCAATTTTGGAGAAGAATACTTACGCAATCAGCATGTCATCAGGAACTGTGAAAACACATTAGAGCAAATTAGATATACTAGTATTTCATACCCGCTGATGTCCAGCACTAACATTATTACAATATCTCCCTCTAGAGCAAGATTAATGTACTACACTAACTTTACGCAAGGAAAAACTGTTTTCACTCATTTGTTTGGATTAAATTCGAAGGAAAAGAAAGAGATCAAAATGAATGAATTATAAAGACACTGACTCATCTAAAATAATAATGTTAAGTTAACCTACAGCTTTGGTTAGGCCAAGATAAAGTTACAATATGCCGAATTAACAATACGATACAGGTAGACTTGATGCCTTTTATTTGTTAGGCTACTTACTTTGAGATGTGTCCTGGTATATCTTCTGAATGTCTTTGAAAAGTTGTTCTGCAACTGAGGGTAAAAATGAAGAGTTCATTTTGTAGAAGACGCGCTTACCGGAAGTAGCTTTATTCATGGACCAATGACGTGCGATCAAAACATTGCGATTTCCGGTTTTTTTATTTATTTCAAAATAAAATTGATTATTGCTTCAACTTTTTTTTTCTTTTTTTTTTCACTATTTGTGCAGCTATAGCACACACGTATTCCTTAGGTTTGTATCATTAATTTGATGTGGTTTCTTCATGTTTAATAACAGTGGTGGAGAACTGAAAATTTGTAATCAAGTTAAAAGGCTAAAATGTATTAAGTTACAACTTACAACTCAAAATCTTCTTAAATTGCAATTATAAACAAAAATATACCCAATTACAGTAACAAGATCATTTATAATTACTGCCCATCCCCTCTTAAAGATAATATTATTTAAGGGCAAGGTTCATCAGTGTCTAATAGAAGAGACAAAGAAGCTTTTCCGTGGTGAACTGATCCACTTTATTTGATTGGTCTGACTTTTGTGTAAGAGCCTATTAGGAGACATTGTGCGATACAAACATAGCTGTTCAACATCATAAGATACAGGGTTTCAAGTCTCAATTTAAAAAGACAAAAAAAGTCACTGTTGTATCCTAGTAGAGTGCTAAAATGTTGTTCCAATTAAATTTCGGCTTCATTTCAGATTATGTTTTAAGATTCAAGTTTGTAAACTTTTTTGTCCTTGCTTTTGTAAACACATAACATCCGAGCTACAAAAAGGATGTTTAACAAGATGTTGAAAATCACAGAAAAATAACATCATGTGCTATGACATATGACTCCAATCAAGAATGGATTTATGCAGACTGCAACGAAGCATGTGAGATAAGTGCAAGATTTAAAACTCAATGAATATCCTACATTCAGTATCAATGAGTAACTGCTGTGGATCATGTTGACCTAGAATATTTATTTTAGCTATAGGCTTGTTGACAAAAGCAGAGTGGTCATAGGAATGATAGACTATTACGGTTTATTCTGAAGAGTTAATGGTACCATACACATAAAACACTAGCTGTGATGTGAGTGCACACTATTAAAATAATGTACAAACTACAAGAGAAGACAGAAGTAAAAACAAACAGGTTTATGTATGTGGTGAAGAGACATTAAAGCACATCTTAGTATACTCCTGTCCCGGAGGTTGAATAAGTTACACAGCAGGTAGTATGCTTCTTGTTGTCAAAAGCTACAAAGCAAAAAAGTGCAACAATGGTGCAGACCATTCTTAATGTTTGGTTAATTTTTGTCTTTTGAGTAATAGAAAGACAATTTAAATCTAGTTCAGATTTTTTTCTGGACAGTATAAAAAGGGATTACAAAACAAAAGAAGGACATCAAACACGAACGAAGATCTCTGAGGAAAATTAAAGCTGCCTTCTTTCTCAAGTCACAAGGCATGGCAAAAACCGCTCTGAAAAATCCTGACGTGTTTGTATTCACCATGGTATACTCCTGATCAACTGGAAACCAGAGACCGCTGCATGTGACAACAAAGAAAAAAAATTGGCTCACTTTTGTTATTTGAATGGGGCCCAGAAGTAGTCATTAGGGCATTAAGCTTATACTAGACTCTAACCTTTCTGTCATGTCACCAGTGTTCAAAAATGTGTCTAAAATGGGGTGAGTTGTTGTCTCTACTATCTGATAATGGTTCATCTCCACCATGTTGTGAAGACAGACCTTAATCAATCCATGGATGAAAGGCAGTCCATTTTGCCCTCTTATTTCCACACTCCACAGGCTCTGGTGGAACAGCCTCTGCTTCACTTCGGTTCAAGTACTAACCACAGGAGCAGCAGTCTCCGCAGTGGGTAAGCTGACGCGCCGGGCTGGACTGGGAGAGACTAGCTGTGATGTTACATATTACACCCATCCACTTCCCATTTAAGTGGATAATTTTAAAAGCAACATTAAAATAAGAAATAATCAGTTTAAGAAAAACACTGCAAAAGGTTACTCTATTTACATACAATGATTTTCCTAAAGACAAGGTATATCTTCACAGAAATCAAAATTTAGAAATAGTCTCTTATGTTGTTTTGTACATATGAAGTGTGAAGTTCTTCATCTAATGTCTTCCCCTCAAGATTACTTTCCACCTGACAAGCTGATTACGTTCTCAAGTCGGGAGAACCCCACTTGTCACATGCTACTGTTGGTAAATGGAGCCAACAGCCAGGGGGCGCCATAGCACCAAAAATAAAAAGGACACCGCCCCCATTAACTGGCCACACCAATGAGCAGGGTAATTCTGGGAGAGGGGTGACCAGCTGCAGCAAAAGCCTGTTTTACACAAGGACATGCTGTAGAGGAGCTCAGTCGTCACTGTCAGACAGGGTCTCATACTGCTCAGACAGAAGAGGGGGCCAGGCTCGCTGCTGGGACACAGGAGGACCCCCAGACTGCTGCTGCTGCTGACTCTGGACAGCAGGGGATGCTATGGAGGTTGGGGGTGTGCTGCTCAAGGATACGCATCGTCAGGGGGTTATACGGGAATTGCATGGAGCCTAAAGGAAATGGAGACATATACAACAATTAACTTTCCAAAAAAAAAAAAAAAAAAAAAAAAAACACATTGAAAAATAAAGCTTGACAAAATTACAAAATTATTTCATAATAACGGGCTTGACACGAATAATACGGAACAAAAGTAAACAAATTTAACCTCAATTTAACTGTTACATAAATAAGGACTAAATCAAGTAAAACCAGCAACAAAGCATTAGGACCCCGTAATGCAAAACTATTATAACCTCCAGGTAATTTGTAGCCAGGACAGATGAACTCAATCATGCTCTGGATAAGCGGTTCACAACTTGGTCAGATATGGCCCGCAGGTCACAATCAAAAGCAAATATCCAAAGCTATCATGGTAACTCTTTGTAACACATCTCTAACCCTCTTACCCACTTGGCAGTACAAAGCTTTTAACATGACCAAAACTACAAAACCCCTCGACCTCAGCACTCACCTGTGGAGGAGGGCCGTTCCTCCCAGTTCCACTGTGCTTGGGCTTGGGTCTGTCTGTGGTAATCCCCTTCAGAGTGGACCGAGGACACAGAGGAGGGGCGCTCTCCTCCCCCATAGGCCATACCCAGGCTTGGCGACTTGGACTTTCTACTACCAGCTTTGCCTTGAAGCTTTTGCTTAGCTATAGAAGAAATAAACAATTCATTATTTGTACCCTAACTGTGGTATAGAATAGGCTGCACTGTAGTGTTGTCATGATACTAAAATTTCAAATATTGATACTAAGGAAAAGGCTTGATATTCAATACTGATAACAATACCACAATGATATACAATAGCATTACATTTTCAGCTCCAATTGTATTTTATTAACGCCAGTGGTTTCATAGTTTACATAAAGATCTAAAATTATTCTCAAAATCAAATCCTTTTAAACTATTGAGGAAAGGTCCATTTTTGTCTTATTTTTGCAGGCATCTATACTGAAGAAAATACACAAATAAGTATCTAGTGTTGTTACAAGTTTTAGTATTGATTAATATCTAGGTATAATTTCGTTAACAACACTACTGCACTGTATGATTTAATGTAATCTTACCTATACTTGGTGATGGTGTGGCCTCTTGGCGGTTGTCATTAGAGCCCTGCGCGCTTAGTCCAGGCACCACTCCTCCCTGATGCTCCTCCTGCCTCTCCTCTAGATTCCCCATTAAGGCCTTACGGATAATGTCCTCCAAGCCTAAGTTACTGGCTGGATCATTGAAAGACTGACTCCTTGGGTTTATACTACCTATAAAAAAGAAATTAAAACATTCAAGAGCCATTATCAAGAATCTAAGTAAAAATTTTCATGTCATGTTTAAAAGTCATGTTTACTTACTAGAAGTGGTAACAGCTGGCAAATTAAATATTTCAGTCCCAGGTTGTGCATTTGCTAGAGAATAATTGAAGAAGATTGTTAAAAAATAAAATCAGAGGGCAAGGCAATATCATTTTATGAATGCTCAATTATTGTACAAGGAAATAAAAGGAAGAGATTGGCATGCACATTTGTTAAGATTGTCCCATGATTTGAGACAAGGTGGTTAGTAAGAAGGAAAAGAACATTGAGCCCCACTTACCAACATCAGAATCACCGACACCAGAAGTGGAGTTCAACTTACGAAAGATCTCCTGCTTTTTGGACTGAACCATGGGCGAAGTGTTTTCCAGCTTTGTGAAGAAGGAAGGCAAATAGCTGACACTCCCCGGAGACCTCGAATCGCTCCTGGAAGAAGAACACAAATTTAAATGATTTAATTTAAAGCAACATCATCTGAATTATTCCATGGAAATAGAAGGTTCAAAACCACACTTAAAAACACTCTACATAGAGATAGATATGCCATAAACTATACGGCATACATCTTATCTGAAGCCATAAAAGTTCAATGGCGATAAGCAGGTGGAGCCCCAAGCCACGTTTGAGTTTGTGAGGAGCCAAGCCTTCTCACAGTAAGAACAGATGTCTGTCAAGATTTTTTTGTGGAATAAAAACATCCACAGCAAGGCTGTCTGCCTAGGATCGAGGAATACACACTTCTTCAACACTTTATGAAGATGTGAGTCTGGTCACTCTTTTCAAATGGGCATGACTGGCAGATGTCCGTATTGAGAAAAAAAGGAAGAAATATCAAAGGGTGCTGAAAAATGTTGTGGATTTCTGCAGAATTAATGAGTGAAGCACTAAATTCTGTTAATCTGAGGTGAGAGAAATGTGATTTTGTTTGTAAATGATGACCAATGAGCTCCTTTGTTTCACATGTGACACGTGAAAATAATCATCTGAATGCACGATCATGTTTGGTTGAGCTAAAGATGTAACGGAAGGCGTGGGAACCACACTGATATCAATCTCTATAAACAATACAGAGGACTGGATGTGCCAGGCAATGCTGTTCTGTCTTTTTTAGGTAAAAAGTTAAAAGAATACAGTTTTTAGAGCGAACACTCAAAAATGCAGAAATGTTCTTAAGAAGTTTATGTGTAAATAATATTACATTAAGATATAATTCAAGGATAACTCAGAATTAAGATACAGGCGCTTCCCCTGCATTTATGCATTTGATAGATTTGACTTACCGAATGTCAGGGTTGTCAGCCTCTCTCCTCTGAGGTGGGGGCACACCACCCTCCTGTTTATCCATGCCCTGGTAGCTCTGTGGCGGGGAAATGGGTTCATAGTTCTCCATTTGCCTGCCCCCTCGATCTGGGGACTTTCCAGACCTAGGTTAAAAAAATAAATAAATAAAAAATCAGACAGTTACAGATGACAATAAAGTATAAAAGGTTTCAGAGACTGCCTTGTATAAGGCTGAACAATTTGGGGGGAAAATATCTAATTAGGATTTTTTTTTGACAAGCTTTGAAATTGAGATTAGATTTGCACATTGTCTAAATTACACTAAATATGAACTGACAAACTAATACTTCAAAACCTTGCAATTTGATAATTGCATTGATTCAAATTGCAAATCAATCTGATTCTGATTAATCATTCAGCCCTAGGTTTGTGGGGATCTGGGTACCTGGATCTGGGTTTTTCAGGAGCGTTCTCTGGAGAGACTCTGCTGGAGGGCCTCTGGTGGAACGGAGGCTGGTTTTCTGGACTGTAGCGGCTGGGGACCTTGGGCCGACCGGAGGACATGGTGGGGACCCCGCTCTGGAATGTAGCAGGAGGCGCGGACGAGGAAGGGGGCGGGTCTTGGTTCCGTGCAAAGTCTTGGGTTATGATATGCTAAGGAAGAGTAGAATCACAATTACTATCAAATAGTACTGACAAAATATTAGTTAAAGGTAGTAACATTTCTGGTTATGTCACCCACTCACCCAGATATTACTATGGCTGGCATATTGCACAGTATGACATTAAATGTGTCTATCTAGCATTCATTTAATTACAGGTGTTTATTGCTTAAAAATGCAGCAGCTCAGTTGGTAGTGTGTTTGTCCACTGATTCAAAGGTTGGTGGTTTGAATTCCCCTCCAGACATAAACATCATTGGTAGGGCACAGCAGTCAGACCCACTGGCCCACAGGTTGGAGGTGCAACTCAAGCTCACACAGATGAATGCTGTCATTGTGTCCTTGGACAAGACACTTTATCTACCTTACCCCTGGTGTCTGTGTACACTGGTGTATGAGTAAGTGTGAATGGGTTGAGTGGTGCCTGGATGTGAAGCGCTTTGAGTGCCTAGAAGTTGGAAAAGTGCTATATAAAAATGTGATTTGCATTCTTTCTGTGAGTGCGCTTGCCTCGCCATAGATCTGACCTGGTGGCATGAACTGCTTGCCTCCATGGAGATAAACATATTTAATGCCATACTGTCAAACATTACAGGAAAACCAACCAATTCTTTACCAGATAAGTTGTGCAGTGTACCTTTAAAAATGTGGCTGTGTCTTACCGAGATGTGATCAGCTAAAGTCATCATGCGCGTCTGAGTTTTGGACACTGGGTAGCTGTCTGCCTGGGAGGAGGGGGGTGGCTGAGGCGGTGGTTCTCCTTGTTGCCGGTAACGACTCATGTCGTAGCCACGCATACCAGCTGAGAGAGGCAGAGTGTCCAGGTGAGTTAAGGACTGATGAGACAAGAATAAACCTTGTACCCAGAGCTACTGATCTGTATTTCAGTGCACCTGACACTGACCCTACAACAGATTCTGACCCTGCCCATGACCCTGCCCATGACAGCAGTACAAGTCTAGTGTCTGGTGACTGGACTGTTGGAGGAATGTGGCTGGTCACACTTGAATGACAAGGTCAGTGGGTTAAGACATGTAAGTTATGGTATGTTTACTCCACAAGCAGCTAAATTTAGTATCAGATCAGATGAGCTGTGAACCTATAAAACATGACTCCTTCCAGGAATTGAGCTGTCACTGAGTGTTTATACCTGCAGCCTGTTGTTGGCCATCCTCTGATTTGTCTGGCTGGGCTTGGATCGGAGAACTGGCAGGACTAATAACCTCAATTGCTCCTCCACTCTGATTGTCATAGCGACCAGATGACACTGTAGGCATACACACAAAATAGGTTAATGATATAATTATAATTATTATAATTATTAAATATACACAATTATTGAAATAAAATATGTTTGAAAACATGTTTTAATGTAACTATGAGTGCTGATGTAGTGTTTGGAAAAGGCACCAGATAACACAAGATTGTTCTTCTTTCTGTTCCTTTTCATTAATTTCTTGTATGTTTAACATTACGACACTTTTTATGTCTGGTTTGTTTGGTCCTTTTAGACTCACTGTTACTAGATGAGTCCGAGCTTTGGGACCCTCGCTCCCGGTTGTCTTTATCTGAGGCGATTTGGCGCGTGATGATGACGTCAATAAAATTGGCAGCTGTGATGGTGGTCTTTCCTCGAGTTCGGAGCTCCTCTTCTATGCGAGACTTTGAGTTCTGGGAGCCCTTCTCTTTGCCTTGGCCCCCAGCTGCGTCTGGATAAGCAGAGTGGGGCTTCCCTCCAGGCAAAGACATGGGGTAAGGAGAATGTATGGGCCTCCTCTCTGCCTCCTGTTGCTGCTGCTGTTCAGAGAGGCTGGCTGGTCGCCGTGTCGAAATGTCCTCGTCTTGGTCATGTTTGCTCTCCTTCACTTTGGACACCTCCATCTGAGGAGCGGAAGCTGCAGCATCGACCAGGGCCGCCAGAGCGTCTGCCGCTGTGTTGTAGCGAGAGCTGCTCTGGGCAGCTGCGGTCACTGTCGTAGAATGAGGCCTGAGGAACAGAAAAGGAGCTGTGATGTGCGCTCACTCCTTCATTACAGTGAGGTGCCTGAGTGAACTCACATCAGAGAGGTGATTACACTCTTGGCCGGGAAAATACTGGGCCTCTGTTGAACCACCACATCCTGGGTCCTGAGCGAAGGGGAAGGTGAGTGCAAATAACCACGACTGCCTGGTCGGCCAGGCTGTTCTCCACCTGGAACTAAATATTTCATAAATTAAGTTGAAACATTAACTTGCTGAATAAAAAAATCTCATGCACAGATAAAACCTGACCTGTGCGCATGTATTCAGCGGCTCTCTCCCTCTCTCTCTGCTCTCGCTCCCGCTCTTTCTCCTGCTGCTCGCGGTCACGCTCTCTCTCTCTCTCCCTCTCTCGCTCTCTCTCGCGCTCCCTCTCTCTCTCTGCATTGGCAGCTGCAGCTGCTGCCATGTGAGCCGGGTGGCCTGAAAATAAAAGTAGAAGAGGTCACAAATTACATTTAAAGTAAAGTATATTTCACTTGTATTGAGAGGACTAAATATGTTTATATAATGTGCATCAACAGCTCAGTTTTGCACATTACTCTCGCTTTACTTTGAAACTATTAAATAAGAAAGTACATAGAAAAAGCGGAAAAGTCTTGTTTTGCTGTTGTAGCAAACAAAAGTATTTTAAAATGCATTTGGATTCTTTTTAATCAAAGACACTTGCCTAAAGAAATCAAACTGTCACAGCCTCTCACAGCCCTTGAGACCAACCTCACAGACCTGAGGCCAGTCCAGGCTGTACTCTTAGAGACGAGTGAAGAACATGGAGATGGAGAGAGGGAAGCACAAGAGGGTAGGGTTGGGAGAGGCAGGGGTCCTCACCTGGCGGTATGGAGGATTGGTTGAAAGCCCTAGGAGGGAAAGGGGGCTGAGGTCCAGGGAGGAAGGCGAAGCGTTCCAAAGTGGGAGTACCTGTTCCCCCAGGGTGAGGCAACAGGATAGTTGGAGGCATCTGGGCTAGATCAATAATCCCTTTTACAGACAGAAGCAAAGGGCCAACGGTGAACAACATGAACCAATTCATCAGTTTCTGAATGTATGAACACCGTATACACTTAACCCATCACCTTTATTCTAATAGTGCTCCCAAATACAAAAAGCAACAGGGCTGCAGTGTAGATAGTGGTCAACTTGTAACAGGGCAACCACAAAAGACCATACCCAATCCATAAATTGAGTAGTAGCCAATAGGTCGCAGCCCAATAAATAGAGCAAATCTGAAAATGTGTCTGGTCATTTGCTTCTGGGCGTCTGGAAAAGGTAGCCACTACTTCACGAGCACACAGCCTGCTCACTACAGCCCTCCCCTGGCCACTCCTGCATGTGCAGGTCTGAGCTGATGGAGGGCCATACCTCTGGCTGCAGCTGGATATGGGATAACTGGCTGCTCCCGTGGAGACAATCCCCGGGCCATATCCGGCCGAGGGATCACTTGCATCTGCTGTGACGTGATGTAATCGTTGAGGATGGTCTGCCGTGTGTTCTCCATGGTGTAGAGCTGGTAATTGTTATGGAAACCGGACGGGGATGGTTGCCTCTGGAACATGAATGCTGCTGTAGACAGAGAAACAGATGTAAATATGTACTGTTGGTCTACATATTGAATACTAATGTCTGCATGTTTTGTACCAGGGTCCAGCACTCTGTGGAAGCCTATGGGGGGGTCAAGATGTGGGGGCAGATGTGCGCGGTACACTTCCCCTGGCACAGGGCGGTGATGAGGGTCAAAGGGACTGTGAGAGGCGACTGGATCACTGCTGGACACTGGGGACTTGGCCGGGATGCTCTCCCGCTGTGTTGGCGTCATAGAACGCTTTCTTTCATGTTGCCCAGACTTTGAAGAGGCCATAGCACCTTCAATAACATGGGAGAACATGGGACTTATTACTAGAAAATTCGACTGACTGCTCATTCTAAACATTTCAAGGAACATTCACAATCAAAAATTAACTGATAAACTAACAAAATTCCATTATTTCAGAACATGTTTGTAGAGGTCTAAACTAGTTTTTTTTTTGTAAAAATAATTGCAGCCACTGTGATTTGAAAATTGTACTAACCCAAATTGCAATTTTGATTCAATATAAACATATTTTGCAGACCTACATATTACATATTGCATATGTATGTTCCTCTACTCTTGTGTGATTCAATTTTGGATTACCTTCTCGGCCCAGCATAGGTGACCCCCTGGACATGGAGCTGGTGCTGTAGTTGACCGGGGTCCTCCGAGCGTTGGCATCCTCGTACATGCCAGGGCTGAGCTGGGATTTGCTGGCCTCTTGGTTGGTGGAGCGCAGGACAGATGTAGAGTTGACCACACTGTGCCTTATAGCCTTGCTCTCCTCGTACTTGGCTCGTTCGATTGGATCCATTGGAGGCATGCCATGGGGAAGCTTATTTGGACTAGTAATAAGGGACTTGACATTGTGCTTAATGGTGGACTGGTTTAGATGATGCTGGAAAAGATTAGTACATGTCAAAAAATGCCCAAAACCACATATTTCAAGATCTATGTAACTTTTCTGCCATGCACTTGTCTCCACAGAGGTATTATTGTTTTGCTTGGAATGTTCCACAGTATGGCATAAATGTATCTATGTCCATGGTGACAAGCAGCTGATGCTATTGTGCCAAGTCACGGGTCAGATCTGAGGAGAGGCAACTCTGCTCACAGTAAAGAAAGCATGTTGCTTAATGCATGTTTAGCAATAATATCTACTGTAATTAAATACTTACGTTTGATGCCATACACTGGAGCAGTTTAGGCAATGTAATAAAATCTCAACTGAGACAAACTCCCCACTTAGAAAAGTTGCATAGTGCACCTTTAACTTTAAATTTTACCTCCATGCTTCTCCTGTCTGACATCTCTGGTGTCTTGCAGCAGTCAGGACCAGACTCTTGACGAGGAATTTCATGGATAGATCGCCCCATTTCTTTGATTGTATTGACTCCCTCATAGGGTTTGCCTTTCCCAATCCCACCTTCAAAAGAGCGTATGGGAGGGCTCTCAATTTTGGGCTGCTTTCCATATTTCATGCTATCTTCATAAGCCTCAGCAGATGTTCTAGGTGTTCCTAAAACATAAAAACATATTTCTGTATTATAATAATTTACACATTATAGATTTCCTACAGTAGAAGTTAAATGAGTGACTACCTTGCATGATGGATCCAGGGATTAAGGCTCGGTCTTTATCACTGTGGAGGGCTTCTCTTGGCAAAGCTCTGGTAACTAAACCTGTCCAAGAAAAGAACACTTTAGTCTATATACAGTATATACAGTTTTGCTCAAAATCAAAGTATCAAATATTTCCATTTTGTTCAGGTAGATCAAATTAATGTAAAAAGTATAATTTCTTTGTCCCCTTTTTATTTTTACATTTTGAATTTAGCTTGTGTGGATGAAAAAAAAAAACTCAATTAAACAAAGGTTTAAAAGTTCAAATATTTGAAAACTTAATATTTTGAGTATCTTGTGTGCAAGACCTTCAAATGGAGCTTCTCTGCCGGCGTGTCCTCTGATCAGGGGCCCCTCCATCATGTCATATGGTCGTTTCAAGTCATGACCAGTCCGTGGGCTACGTGTGTTTTCTCTGGGGTTCTTGATGGCTTTTCAGAAAATAAAATATACAATATAAAATGGAAATAAATTGTGAAAAATATTGTGATGTTTGAGGTTTTCAAATAATTAATTTACCATCAAAAGAAAGTATGTGGCCACTTTTGCCTTCGTAAATGACATGAGCTTTAGCCATTTCCCCGCGAGTCTTTTCTGGACTGTTGAGGTCCTCTGTGGCCAGCTTTGGCATCCCGCCCTTTAGGAGATCAGCTGCTATACTAGACTGGGGTAATGCCGGGGTGCCCTGTAAGAAAGGTATATTTGAGCACAACTAACCCCATGTAAAACTGTATTATTATTATATTATATATTACATTATATATTATATTATATTACAAACTCTATTAAAAGAGGTCCTTACCTGAGTGATTGATCCTCTGAAAGGCATCCCCTCACCCACCTTTGGGTTTCCTGGAGACAAACACGAGTAAGAAATTAGTCTCTTGAATTACAAAAAAATATTGTGCCATTCCAATTAAGTACCATTATTACCAGGTTTGTTAGGATCCTGTTGGCGAGGCAGCCCCAGAGATATGGAGCCCACAGAGCTCTTAGTTCCTTCTGGCCCATAGACGGCATGGGATGGCAGGTAAGTACCAGGAGTTCCCTGTTTAAAACATAACTCCATTTGTTAGTTTAAGAACACAACAACCAAACTTAAAATACATGAGAACTAACAAAAGGTCAGAAAAACAGACTATTGTCACTTTTAATATGCACTGCTAGTTTTGCACTCTTGTTCTGTCCTTCCATATTGCCTATAAGCATTTTGTATTCATATTTGTTTAAGTTTATATTCATATTTTTTATTACTAAATCACAAATGCAGTAAAGCTTTTTTCTGAATCTAATCACAGTCAAACAATCTATAAGACTATAACAGTTATTTTTTTACCTGTGAAATGGAGCCCCCCTGAATGAAGGATGGTTTGTCAGTGGGCTTGGTGGTTGGAATGAGTGGAGGAGGAGAGGGAATGTTGGGTGGTCGACTGGGTCTGCTAAGCGCCATACGAACAGCATCAGGCATCTGGGCGAGCTGGTTGGGGGAAGCACGAAGCACTATAGAAACATGAACAACAAGATAATAAAGATCAGGTCGATATAGGCATTATCAATTAAAAGGTAGGAGATGCGTATATCAAAACACAAAATAAAATAACAACTGTTGTAAAAGATATTAAAAATGACAATCTCCCAAACAAAGGGTTTAAAGCAATATTTCTGCACTTCTATGGTTCATTTTATGATCCATTCATGTTTTGTGCTAGACTCCAACCAAGACATTTACAACCACATTTTAGCACATTCTTGATTGTGTTGCACTGTTAAAAAGAAATACTGTCTTGTCACACAAATAAATTAAAATCCTAAACTTACCCAGGAATAATATACACAAAAGACAAAACCTCTTTAACCTGACACACTGTAAATGGCAAAAGCAGTGCATTGGAGTAGAGGTAAGTACAAGCATCCATTTTTCAACTTATGGAAGCCTTTTGTCCCTGATGTCACTATATATTGACTAAGTATAACCTGGAAATTATATAACACTGCTGTGGGTACATAAACCTTTGAACAACAGGAAGTCCTCCTTGACTTCTTGACATTTAACATAGTGTGTCAAGAGCTTCATGTTACCTAGGCTCTTGCTCATTACCCTTTTATACCAAACTGGACTGAAAACTTAAATTTGAAATGATTGAAATGGCCACCAAAATGAGAGGTCTAAGTTTAGATGTGTTGCCAGTGTTACCAGAAGCCAGGCTGAACAGAGAAATTTGAGCAGATTGGGGGAGTTGGTTTGACTGAATATTGCTGGGTTTCAAATGTCATCACATCTATAGTCCAATAATATTTAAGACAAATAGAGGCAGCTCAAATTCATATTGTTTAAATGCACAATTGTGTTGTATTATAGCGAGTTCTTTGGTCTTGGGCTTTCTCAAAAATTTTCAACAAACATTCAACATTTGCATGTTTACCTTGGATATTTCATGGTAAAGTACAATGTAATCAAAAGGAAAACAGTTGCCCACATGTGGCAGTATAACATCTCATTCTACAATCTGAAAAGCACCAATGTAGTGTAAAGGCTAAACAAGAGTATAGAGACAAACAGAGAGGAAATGTAGCACTACTAAAATAAAACTCAACCATCAGTGAAAGGTAGCCCTGTAAAACTGAAAACTGTACCCCTGAAACAGACAACAATACATCTTCTGGTGTCAAAGATCAGCAGCTAATGACAGCAATTCTCCTCTTCACAGCACTCAGACTAAAAGGTGCTAAAAGCTTTGCACAAGACAATCCATAACACTATCCACAACGGCGTTCACAACTCCCCCACTCAGAGCTAACCGGCTAAATTGTAAGGGCCAAACCAAATAGCCTGTCATGATAACACATGATAATGCTTAAGAATATATAGACAATGAGCAATAATATTAATGACCCAAACATGAGCTGCTATAAATAGCAGAATTAAACACTAAAGTAGTTTGTATCTATAAAACATTACAGAAGTTATTTTTTCAACCCTCTACACTTAAAGTTGCTATATTATGTAATTGCAAAGTTGACTGATGTGAGCTTTTACCATGTTGTAATGTTGTAACCTCAACAAAAACCCAGAGTTGTGTTTTGTTTCATTCACACATGTTTAAAATCTTGCATTATTAGTCTGTCTGTATCTTCAAAGCTCAAAATGCTCTGCTCCACTTGTGATGTCATGAAGTGATAGTTTTCAAGTTAGACACCTATTACTTATTCTTTAGTAGAGATTGGCCAATCCAGGGCTGAAAAGATCAAAATTATTCTAGTGAAGCTGTATGGAGTTTAAAAACAGTTCTTGTTTTACCATTACAAGGTAGAAAAGAGTGTTTTCAGTTTGAGAGAAAAACACAGCCTAAATATGCATGGTTTATGTGTTAAACATGCGTGAATCAAACAAAACACAACTCCAGGTATGTTTTTGATGAGCAAATATCATTATAACATATCAGAAAATAGTGTAATAGCGTTAAAAGTTTTGTGACAGGCCTACCAGAAGTATCGGGTATCTTCAGGTTGTATATGAATAAGTGAAGACATCATAGCATTTACTATTTTATCAATAAAGGAAGAGCAAAACGCTTCCTATCTCACCATCTCGGTCAAGGATGGTGGGGCTGCGGGTGTTGAAGGGTGGTCTGCGGTCCAGGTCTCTGTGGTCCTGCCTCTGCTTGTCCTCCTGATGAGCAGACTCGTGCACAACTTTGATCTGATGCTGTAGCATGGCATAACCACTGAGGGGCACGCCACCAGGGCCGAACGGACCAGGGACCTGGAGGACGAAAGACATTCTAAATATTCTCTAACCTCGACCAAACCATAATGTAAAATAAAGTAATTACAAAAATTAAATGAACTGCAAATTGTGCCAATATACAAACCATTGCTGGGATATCTGCGGCTCGCTGGTGCATCTGCTTGCTACTTGGTTGCTTGGGTGAAGACACTAGTACAGTCGAAGGGGGACTGAGTAATAAAGGCTTGTCCAGGGAGTATATCCTATAGAGAGGAACATATTAAAGACAACAGAAACACTACCCAAAAGTACAAAATTAGGGCTGCAACTAACGATTATTTAAGTAGTGGATTAAACAGCAGCTGCTTTTATTGATTAGTCGACTAGTCAAACAGTCATACAATTTTGATTGTACATGTATTTAAAATGTCAAACTAAAGAGAGGTTGAAATCTGGCGACTGAAGGTTTCTAGATAAACAACATTTATGAATTACGTGTAGTATTGAGATTTTGATTTATTAATGCCGCTGTGTTACAATAACTCTTTTAATACCCGTTTTAGAATCTGTATCAGGCTAGTTAACAATTACGATAAAGATTATTTTAATAGTTGAATAGTTACGATTACTCTGATTAATTGTTGCAGCCCTACAAAAAAATGACACTAAACAAACCTCTGTCTATCTGGCTCCGCTTCCACATCCTCATCTGCACTGCAGGTGGCGCTAGAGTCATCATCAGAGTGAAGCTGCCTCTGTCTGTCACTGTGTTCTCCCTTCTCCCCTTTATCTTTTGTCTCTGGCTCCACTTTGACCTGCACCTCCGCACTCTTCACATCCACATCCTGAGGTTCTGTTTTGGGGTTGACATAAGTGGCTGCCCGGGCCTTCTCCTCCTGCGTCTCCCGCTCACTCTCCGGGCTCTTTTCCTCCTTCACTCGGAGCTCTCCAAAAGATGCTTCGGAAGTCTTATTAGCAGCCTGACCTTTGTCCTGGTCAGAGCACTGAGCGTCTCCTACAGTGCTGTCCACTCTCTTCGAGTCAGCGGGCTTGGATGGGTCAGTCTGAGAGGGGGAGGGGGCGCTTTCTGTGTCAGAGCTGTTGTCGGCACCTGATAAAGAAAAGTCAAACTGATAAGTGATAGTGAAATGATGAGAATAGCTATGTCAATAGAGTGTCTTTTTTGTGCATTTATAGTTATTTGTAAATATTTGTTATTCATATTAATTTTATGTTATTTCCTATTAACTAGAGACTACAGTGCCCCTAGATGATACAATTGTTTTCCCCATAGTCTAACAACAGGCTGAACAAAAACTGGTCAAATATACTTTATGCATGTAGCATAAATATATTTATATTTAATCTTTAATCAGTCAATTCATTAGGAGAAACATTAAGTGTACGCTCCATAAATTAATTTGAATAGTTTGTACCACCACAGTCCAACACTGTCAGACAAAGGGAAATAGACCGGGAATATTCATCTTGTCTTCTTAGTAAAATTATTTTGTTTCATATATCAGGCATGCATAGGTAATTCATAATGCGTTGCCTACATTGTCTGATATACAGTAGATTAAAACCTAACAATACAGGGAAAGGCTTTTACAATTCATACAGGTCAGAACCTCTTAAATGTCCATTCACACTTAAATTTTGCTCTCCCTCTTTTAAAAGTGCTTCTCTGTGGCATATTGTCTAACACTGCAGTCGTTTCCATGGTGATGCTCGGCCAGATGGTGCGTCTTTGCAAAACAAATTGCAAATGCATTAAATGTATCAAACTGAAAATCAGAAAAGCACAGTTGGCTTAGGGACTTTCTAGTGCCTACGTGTGCAAATATACGCATATCTCCTACTGTATAATGTATGTGATGGGACAATCTGCACGCGGGCGAGCACCAAGGCTTTCAAAGAGCAGTCTGGGTTTCCATGAGACAAAGGGAAAGTCAAATAAACAAGACAGAACCTTGTGACCTCCCTCTGCCGCCACTGCTATCTTGGGAAGTGCAGATTATGTGAATTACATGAAAGTTTGAGGCTAAATGAAGCAACCATAAGAAAATAGCTAAAATCAATCAATGCAGCTCAAACAAAGTCACAGAAATAATCCATATACAAACATTTGACCCTTTAACTCTATAGATGCAAGGCTCTCGACTGGGAGACTGACAGGCAGTGGGATCAAACAAATGGACTTTCATTTTGCTCAAAGAGGTTTTCTGGAGTCTTCAAAGCCAAGAACTGTTATGCAACAGGCGCCCCGGCCTGATAGTCCAAATGAGTTCCAAAGGTCAGTGAAAAGACTTGATAAGGAGTTACAATAGATTGATAAAATTTTAAAGATTTTTCGGGCAAACTATGGGTCCCAAAATTTTCTCCATGTTCTGTCAATACTTAGCAATATTAGCATACACCAAGCTAAATTCTCATAATTCATTTACAGCCTTTTATCTTTAATTAACTAGTTGTCACTGACCTTCACTGTCATCTGCATTGTCTTCATCATCGTCGGGTGATGCCGTGGCTAGGCCTTCACCTTGAGCTCTATCCCGATCCCTTCCCTGAAAACACAGAAGAGTTCAATAATCATACTAAACTGATAATTAAAAGATGCACTGTGTAACTTTCGGTGTGGAGAGTCTGCTACCATGGAGATTTTCTGGCTTGGTCTGGAATTTTTCACAATATGATATTAAACTTATCCATTTCCAGGAAGAGAAGCACCATGCCAATTTACAAGTCTGATTTGTGGAGAGGTGGGTCTGCTTACTGTAGAATGCATATTTTTCAAGGTACTGTTTTAGTGTTAAAAAAAACAAAAACAAAACCTACAATTGAATAATAAGCAAGTTTATTGCCATACTGTGGTGCATTCCAGAGAAAAGGTGTATATCTCCATGGACACAATCAGGAGCTGGACTCTTACCAGAAAAGCTCCATATTGCACCTTTAATATAGAGACTTCGAGACATAGAGTCTTGTGGACAGTGGACCATACCTGGTTATGCTGTTGAAGGAGGTTGTCCAGGTTGTGGCGCCTCTTGTAATTAAAATAGAAGTTCTTGCACTGTGCTTCACTTTTGGTGCCCACCATTTTGGCAATAGCCGTCCAGTCACGTCCATGCTCTACAAGGCCTGTGCAAACATAGCAACATAATAACGTTGTCATAAACGTTGGTACCCCGAGTGTTTGTATACAATTTTTATTACCATTTATCGTTGTACTGAAATCAAATATCAAACCTTTCCTTAGTAATAAAATTCAGTTTTTACTATCATTACAACACTACAACATTATTCATCTGAGTAGCTGAAAAATGTACTTGTTAGGACAAAACTGTTTCCTATATACATATTTATTTAAATTTCTAGCCGTTTCCTCAGAGTTATTTCTCCAACTATGAGTGAGCTCAATGAATAGTATATGATAATGAGAAGCAGCTATTCCAAACCTCTGCTACTGTACAATCACACAGCACTCGTGAGTCTACTGTTGCTATGGTTACCCTTCTTCTTGTATGTGATCAGGACTAAGCCGTGTTAACCAGGACAACTGTCATTTACCTCTGACATGAAGCCGTCTACAGTCTAAATCCACTGACTCCTCTGACCTCCCCACCACCCTACTAGATTCGTCATGATGATTACTCGATCAACTCCTTGTTCAATAAACTGGCTAAATATTTATCATACTGAAACATAATTTTGAATGTTTTCATATTGTGTTGTTTTTATTGCTGAAACTACCTCTATAAATGTATTGCTTTATAGCTCTAGAAATACAGTTCGATTGATTGATTGATCATTTGAACCTTTTGTTTGTATAAATGTTTTTGCTTTTCCATTAAAAGGTGCACTATGTAACTTTTTGTTTAGGGTCAGTCACCTGCTTGTTTCCATGGACATGTTATTGCTCTGCTTAGAATGTTCCACAATACCTTACATTTAATAAATTACAGGTGGTTTTATAGCTCAAAAATACCCAGAAAAACAAGCATTCTGACTGTTTGAGAGGTTGCCTCTCCATGGATCTGACCTATAACTTGATCTGGTTTGGTCTAAAGGAAGGTAAAAAAGGTTTAATACCAAACTGTGAAACATTTCATGGAGAAAATCATGACGGACTCTCTAACAGAAAAGTTACACAAGGCACCTTTAACATTTGAGTAATATTTGGTTGAATAATTAACATTTATAACTTAACATTTGATTATGCTATATATTAATTTATTGTGTTTTTTTAATGATGAAAAAGGTTTAATGGAGTCTTGCTTTAGGGTTACTGTGTCAGCAGTACAAAGTAGTTTCAGCATTATCATTAATCATGATATTTTCTGTAACAATATATCTCACATCAAAATGTGTAATAGTGACAGGCCTACTCCTTGCTCAACTTAAAAGAGGCATGCTAGCAACTTCACAATGTACTGAAAATTATAAAAATGAACTTTCACTGATAAATGGGGGACAACTGTTAGAGTCAGAGTTGGAATTTCTTTTTAGATTGTATTTCTCCATTTTAAAAACTATGTATCTCTTGTACTTCCCATCAACAAAAATGGCTTCCTAAAACAATGTGAGTCTTTAAACCATATTACATCCATAGTTTAAATTAACCCAAATAACTCTGCATTACTTATAGACTTGTGATGTCCAATTAAAATATTTTCTACATACTTAAACTGTGTAATTGGCCCTGTACTGCTGCTTGAAAGTGCTGGACCTACTTTATCACATGATAGGAGGGGTACAAGAGGCCACTAATCTGCAGTCATATCTAGAGTAAAGGCCTAAAGCCTAGAGAGATATTTCTTCTTAAAATGAATGGCAAATTGCAGAGGCCCCAAACAAAACGCCAATGAATCCATTTTAATCATTTTATTTATAGTTTAAAGTTCAGTGGAATTAGCATATAAAAGTCTGGTATTTTATAGATTCAAAAAGAGAATTAAGTGAACATTAACACACAACCTACCTACCTGTGTTGAAAAAAATAGTTTAAGGGGAAGATTTGATAAACTTTAGAAAATGTTTAACTGTGTAATTGATAGTGATTTATGTAGGCTTATGCTTCACTGCTTTATAAATTTAGCCAGTAAAGATAAACAAAAATAAGCCTAAATCCATAAATGATCTGTAACAATATTTACAAAGGCTAATACAATTTAACTGCGCTCTATCTGAGGTCAGGCTACATCAGAAGAGAGAAAAAACAAGTCAGAAAGAAAAAAGAAATATTTGGCTTATGAGAAAAAAAGATGAGAAAAAAGCATTCATTACCTTTTTTGGCAATCTCCATCTCCTCCTCGGTCCAGCGAGAAGTTTCTCCGGTTTCTCCAGGAGCTGCTAAAAATCAGACGAAGAAACGATAGAGCGCCATTAGCAAAAAGAGGAGGGAGAGAGCAATAGTCCTCTCTTCAGCCGTCTACTTCTCATGGCCACTAATCTAATAATCTGTTTACATTCAGGGGCTGCCGAGACCTGCTCCCTTACTTACACTGCCTGGATATAGCCTTCTCTCCACTCATTTGCTTTCTCTCTCTCTCTCTCTCTCTCTCTCCGTTTCTCTCTTTCTCTCTCCCACTACTCAGAAAAGACCCTCCTCCTCCTCTTCTGATCTGCGAGGGGAGGGCTTTGGTCAGCTGATATAGCGCCAGACAGTGAAGGAGTTGAGAGCCGTGCCTCCCTCTTTGGGAAATGGCCTTGGATGGAGACAAATACATACGCACGCACACACACACGCACAGTTGAGAGCGCCAACAGCCCTCCCCTGGTCTACTGTGACACTGCACATCTCTCACAACCACACACACGCACGGACACACACACATGCACGCACACACCCACACAACTCCAGTCGAATTCACAGAAGAGAGCAGTGAGAGCAAAGTGGGCCAAGTGAACTCTAACCCACTCTCCTCCATGGCACCCGATGAGACAGTGTAAACATTTGGACCAATATAGCAGCAGATGTACCCTTGACATTAAAAATGGAGGTCCCCCCCATCACCCCTCAAACACCCCACCACCCCTCCACCAACGCTACGAAGAAGATGAAGAGATCAATTCTTTGTTTGGACGGCCCCAAGTGAAGGTCCGCCCCTCACCACAGTCTCTTACACTTGGTTAAACAAATGTCCACCAGAACAGGCTTCCTTCCTCTACCCTGGCATGCTGCATGTGACTGTAAAACTACACCAATATGGCTGTTAATCTTGCACAAATCTTAATTTAACAAACATGTCTGTCTGCGAGGGCTGCAAAACATGGGGTAAACATTTTGTCCTCTTCTATAGTAAAACGTTAACTTTATCCGTCTTTGATTTATTCATGGTGCTTTTATTGCTCAAAGATTTTTTTTACTCCGAGTGAGATCGCTTCTTCACAAATCTCACCAGCAATTTGACCTGGTAGCATTATAATAATAGTTTAATATCATAAATAAAACATCTCCATGGAAACAAGCAGGTGAAAGAACCTCCTTTAAAAAAGTTACACAGCACACTTATAATATACCTTAAATAAGTGGATTAATAATATATATTAATAATGAATAATTAATAATATCAATATCTCAGTACTCAAAAGCCATTTTGCCTATTGCAGTATTTCTCAATATTCGTGCAGTCCTAGTGTCTGTGGTGCTAAATTTCATCTAATGATTTTGTGATCTTCCCAAAGCATTCACACACATACACAAAAATAAATCACACTGTTCCCTTTGCTGCATCTGAATCAGCAGCATGCTCAAATTGCCTGGCATCGGGTCAAGTGGGCAAGACTGGCAGACGGCTACCCTTTGGCACACAGGATACCAAATTTCTAAACAACTAGAGCGTAACTTGCAGCGCTACAGTTAGTACCTTTTTGTTGAGGGGGATCGCGTTTACATAGCTCAGAGTAAACAAACTGAAAATGATGGCTAGAAAACGTCAAATGGTTCAGCAAATGGATGGACACTGTGTGCTGGAGGTTAATTAATCACATTATAGATAGGCCTTGTGTAATTCAGACTTTGTGGGCGCAGAGGGGAGCAGGTGGCACCACACACTTGCCGAGCGGTGAATTAGCGGTACAGATTAAACATGGACATTTGGGTAGCTGCAAACCTGAGCTGACACTGGCAAAATAACAAGCTTCAAAAGGGCAGTGGGTGGAACAAGTGCACATCTGACGTACCATGACAACAGCACATTACCATGGCGACCCAAAATCAAAAAACGGCATGAGCTTAAAGTGCATGACAGGTTACATTACACTATTACCTAAAACATAATTAACGTTATTATAGATTTCAGATTTTGTTTAAGATTATACCTAGTTTTACAGTATTTTACAATTTTTGTGAAGTTTATAAATCTACTTCCTGGTTGGGCATGGGCAGTACATGAGGCAAACATACTGTAAAAAAGGGCTCATTTAGTTTACACAGTATATGCTATGATAGGATAACTAAAAATATTTTTAAACTGTCAGAAAGCTAAGCTAAGCCTAACCTGTAATGGTCCCTGCATTTTGGATGAAATTTTGTGTATTAAAGAGATAGAGGGATTCCTCTTAGAACATTACTTCCTATATTTTTGAACTTTTTGTTTTCAACTTTTATCCACAAACTGCCAATTGACTGATGAAAAATTGTGATGAATATTAGTTATGTTACTATGTTTGTAGAAACACATGATTCATATCAAATCATGATTCATCAAATAGCATGGTTTAGAGCATACAGTGGCAAAAGTGGGCAGGGCAGAATATGCTTGACCAATTTCATCATTTTTTTTACCTTTATTTGCCTCTGAAGTAGTTATGGGAGTCTGTGCTTTCGCAGGCTCCTTCATGCCTTTCTGCGCTGATTCAGTTTTGGAGGACTGTGTGGGCTCTGGCACAGCTGGCTCAGGGGCAGGGGGCGGGGCTTCTTCGGCAGCCACAGACGCCGCCTCGTTGGCCATGGAGCGCGTGGTAACCCTGCCTTTACGACGGCCCTGGCTGTTGGCGGTCTTCCTGCCACGCGGCGTGTTCTGCTCCTTCCCGTCCTCGTCCTCCCCGGCGTCACACTTGTCTTTGTCCTTTGCAATGTCCCTGTGGGTTTGAATAAAAACAACAAGAGCTTTTAGAACTGCGGTGGGTATTAACTCACTTCTGAATGGGCAATAAAAAGCTCTAAATGCAATGTGTTTTGCTATCCAGAGGGCTGTAGTCCTTTAGTCATTCTGTCTATTAATTAGCCCATCATGTCTTATGTTTAATTTGAGGACAAATTATTTTATTAGGATTATAAGGATTTATATGGACCACAGTATTAATGAGAAACCATGATGTGGGTTGGGCTTTGGTGTTGACTAGTTTTGTAATGTTAATCTTCACAAATGATAGTTAGCATCTCATTTTCTTTTAACCAATACTGGTACCTTTCAATATATTTAATGCATTTAACTTAAACGTTGATTTAAGGAAAATAAAAAAGCCTTAGTATCGATTGAATAAACAAGATAACATTTCGGAGTGACTAGACTGTTTAAAAAAAACAATGTTTTCTTTAGTACAAACTAGTACTGAAAAATAAACTACTAATAAAGTACTCAACATACTGTATATATCTGCAGTATATAAGCAGATGAACGATGGTATTCACAAGACAACAACAAGGTATTAAAATTGTATTTAATAAAATCATTCATTAAGGATTTCCTGTGCCACCATAGTCTCATATAGGTATAAATTACATAAGTCTTGTTCCAGGCTATAAAGGCTATAACCAGAAAAATGTTAACACTTTCAATAATGCTTAGGTTAGGTTCAGATTATGAGGCTGTGGGGCAGTGAAAACTACATACCTGGAGTCCTCCTTCTCATCTTTCTCTTCCTTGTTGTTCTTCTCCTCGTCCTCTTTTTTATCAGACTTCTCAGACTTGTCTTCTTCGGTCTTGTCGTCTGACCTGTCTTCTTGTGATGGCCGTGGGATTTGCTATATTTAAAAAAAGAGACCGAGAGAAAACCAAAGAGAAACCAAAATTACATCACAATTATTTTACTTAATAGTTACAAAAAATAATTACAACAAACAACACAAAAAGCAGATGGACCACTTTTTGGGTCTGATCAAGCCTTTGGGACCTTTAAGAACAGCAACTGGACCAATACTGTAGGAACTTGTGAATGTAATTGTATTTTTATACCATTATTGTAAAAGAGCTATGCAACATCAGCTCCTCTTTGGTTTTATTAGAAATACCAACACCTAAGCAGAGCGGTGGAAAACGTGAACGTGTTATTGGAGGATGGAGCAACATTCTTGATCATCAGAGCTGGCTTGGTTCACCACAGAATGCTTCCTCCTGCCTGTACTGTGAAAGTGCTGCGCTGGAACAAGTCTGGTGATGCCAAGCCAAACATCCCATGCTGGTACCAGATGGGGCCAAGGAATGTGGTTCCCTCTATAAGGGCAAAAGATAACTGCTCCAGGATGAGTAAGACTTCAAGGAAAAATGTGAAGCTCTGGATAAGTGCATAGAAACAGCTTCTTTATTTTAGTGACTGGCCTGACAACTTCCACCCAGACAATGGAAGTTATAAGATCTGCTCTTTGTGAAGAGGATCCAGCCATTGATACCAGGGATTATGTCCCTCCATGTGTGAGATCTCCATGACCGGTAAAATCAAATCTGTGGCATAAGAAGAACCCTGCATGTGACACTAATCTTACGATTTTCTCTTTGGCTTTTACATCAATAGTAGGCAGAATGAGAAAAACACTGCTGCTAGTCACTACAATTCCTGATGCTGGATGTGTAAATTCATGTTTAAAATAATGTGGGAAAAGGGATATCCTTGATTTTAACAGAAACCATTGGAGGTTAAATGTTACAGTGAAAAAAACAACTCAAACATTTGTCACTACTGACGCATGCTGTTCTAGGAACAGTTTACAAGGCATTTTTGGCACATGGTTGATGACAGACACTCTTTAGATGGGACAATCTGTAGTAGAGATGGCATTCTTGCCTCTACTTGCACACAGTGTACAGGGATTTTACATACCAATTTTCACGTTAGTAGGAGTTATGCTGGATGTGTAACCAAAGTCGAACTTCTATTTTGGCTGTTTGATTTGCTGAATCATAGTGTTTGCACATATTTGTTTTTCAGTTTGTTTGTTATTCAAAAAGGTACCGGTAGTTTAGCAAAGGATGTCTTCTTATGCTGCTAACTCCAAGGCACCCATCTACATTCAAGTTTAACTACAACAGCACATTCTGCATCAACTGCCTCCAAGTAACTCTGCTAAATGCTAACTTGGTGTGGCGCTATGCATTATGCTACAAGGGCAAAACATACAGAAATGAGCACAGGTTATAGTATCACCCAACTCATAATTCCACATCCAAAGCTGCCAACATACCTGCAAGATCATCTGCTGCTCATAAACAGAGTTTGGAGCTGTGGGATACAGCTTACTGGTGGCGGCTAACCTCCAGTATTTCCATAGCAGCAAAGGCTCAGGGACCAGGCGAGGAGCAGCTCAGCCCCAGAGCACAGCTCCTTAGAAGGGTTGCTGGGCCTCACTGCTCCCGCACATATTCCGGGAAAGCGTGTCATCAGGCTGCTTAAGCCGCCCAAAGAATTGTCCATCTCACATGCACACACTAATCTACGCAGGGTCACCCAAGGTAATCCCCGCCAGCACTCCTCTTTGATTGGCACTCACAGCAGCACCGGGTTTTTTGGGCCTGTCAGATGTCCGGGCCGTACCAACTGCAGTCCACTGAGGGGGGACTGTCCCTCACTAACCTTACGCACCACACAACACAAATGTGAAATAAACATACACTCTCCAGATAATCTGATTATTCTTAACTTTTTCAGTTCAACTCCAGCTAATTTGTTCTGAACATTACAGCATAATACAGTACATTTTGTCTGTCTGTGGAAACAATCCCTCCTCAGTTGAACCAATATAATGCAAACATTATAAAGAAGCCTGAGGGTGTAAAGTGTGCAGCACAAAACCTCTGGATCTAAAAATGCTTTAAATAGTTTTATAAATATATGTCCATATCAGAAGAGCCAAAATGAATAAAGGAAATAAACAAACCTGGTTCACCTTTCGCTTTCTCCCAAGGTTACGTCTCACAAGTGTTTTGTAGTTGTTGTTCTTCTTTGTCAAGTAGTAGTAAAGGACACAGTCTGCCACACACTGAAACCCACAGAAATGTAATGCAATGTTTTTATTATCAGTATATTATGTCTTTTACTTTTTGACTTCATTAAAAGAAAACACACAAAACATTACCTTTCTCTCCAGATAAGATGCAATCAAGCCAAAATTTTTGGGGTGTTGAACAAACCTGCAACAGACAGTCATATTAAATAGTAGTGGGTTTTTTTTAAAGAGTGCATTCTGTGCTAAAATAATAATGCTTACTTTTCTTTAAAGATCTCCTTTTCATGCTCCGTCCAAACATTCATGAATTGGCGGGATTTGTAGACTTTCATTGGGTCGTCCATCAGGCCATTCATGTTGATGAACTTGACTCTTCTCTGCTCCGAGTCGTACATCATGGGGGGAATGACAGAAAGCTGTCTCATTTGTTTCTCATTATTCTGAAAAACACATGTATGTGATGATAAACAATTTCCCTTTGTAAGAACACATCTATGCATTTGTGCACTCTAGTTTTTCTGTATTTGTAAAGAGTCCTTACTTCCTGTTCCGACAGGCCGTCTATGATCTCTGATATTTCATGTTCACTTCTAGCGATTGTTGCAGAAAGACCAGTGCCTCTTTGCCCAACTCTGAGGAAAATTTAAAAAAATGAAAATAAGTTTAAAATGGTAATATATCCAGACATTTTTATCCTGTATAATAATGAAATCCTGACCACTAACAGCAGCTTAATATTGAACTAACAAACCAGAATGTTCTTCAGTCTTCATCTGACCTGCTCCTCGAGATGAAGCAGCTTCCAGGTTTAAATATTATCACAGCTCCATGTGGACACAAATCTTTTGCCCAAGGCGGTTGAGTGGGCAGAGATGTACAGTATCTCTTTTTAACAAAGTGTAAAGCCAGAACATCTAATGTCGATGAAAACACAGAAATCAAAAGCACTGGAGGGGCAGGCCTTTTACAAGACATTCCTGGATTGAGAAAATGATTCATAGCCAAGAAGAACTATTCCATCTTTAAAACATATTCACAAATAACCTTTTAGACCTCACCAACATACAAAAGCATCAACACAAACCAATAACAGGCAGAAAGACAGAGATGGGAATCTGTGTAAACCTCTTTCTAAAATGGAGGATTTTTGGATTCATGACTGAAGACCCTTACTCCTCACAGGCTAAATTCATGGATTTTAATCTTTTTGTAGAGTGGGCTGACCTCACTGAGAGACCACACACTGTCTGGGACCTCCTATTTGTTGGAGGGGGATCTTAGGCTTGCTACCATTTCGTACACTGTGGTCCAAATAAAGAAATTGATCTGACAAAGGCTTCTGGTGAAACATAATCAGAAATAAAGTCCGCTATGTAATTTTATATTTTTTTCAGAAACAGCTCAACAACAAAACAAAGACATTTCACATTTCTGAACAACATTCACAGAATGCAGCCATATCATTGCTCTGCCTGCCATTAAACAGCTCTACCTTACATCTATTAAATTACAGGTGGTTTTATAGCTCAAAAATACCTACAATAACAGGCATTCTGACTGTGCTGCCTTTCCACAGATCTGACCTGTAACATGGCCTGGTTTGGTCTCAATGAAGATAGAAAGGCTTAGTACCATTCTGTGAAACATTCCAGACAAAACAATAATAGCCCCATGGAGAAAAGCATTTGAAGGACCCTCCACCAGAAACTTTACACAATGCACCTTTAAATAAGTGTATTTTATAGATGGATTATTTGTTTATCAACACAGCAGATG